TCAGTTTGGCACAGAATCCACAAACCTCATTCTTGCAGCCTTTATTAACACCTCAGTTTGGTAATCTATGGACTCAGGTAACCTCATTTCTGAATCTCATAAAGAGAAAGATATAAATAAGATCATTTTCAGTTGAGATCTGTAACAATCTCAAATTCTCCGTATTTGAAAAATTCACAATATATTATTAAATGCTAGAAACTATTTGGATTTACTTTCTTCCTGTATATTCATTCATGCATTTTATTTATTTACTTTTGGTGGGGTGATAAAGTACTAAGAGGGTCTCAGAAGTCCAATTTCATATTGTCTCTTGGGAAACTAGGATTGGGTGCGCAGATACACCGCCATCTGCTGGTCAATTTATCTGTAGTGAAACTACAGCTTTCTTGAGAGCAGTGTTGTCTAGAAATTCTAGAAAGCACTGCCTTAGAGTAGGAGAGGTACAGGAAATTTGGAGAGTCTTTTTCACAAGTACTTCATTTGACAACATTTACTGGTAATGTATCATGTTTTAAGGTTTTGAAAATAATATTTTAGTAATTTCTATTGAAAATTATAAAATTTTCAGAACAGTAGGTATTTTGGTCATTTTTAGTTCAAATTTAAGATCTTGATAAATGATAATAACGGGACCACCAAATTAATAAGGCACATTGAATAGAATAAGAAAGTTAGTATCCATGACTAAAAACATGTTTGAAATAAAACAATCTCTCTGAGACAGAAGAGCAAACTTATTTTTTTTCCCATAGTACTTCCATTTGTTTAGGGCTGAGTAATCCTTTAAGAATTGCTGAACTTCCCCCAAGCGCCAAAAACCCAATTCCTTTTTAAAAAATAGCTCTAAGTAATTCTGTCCTCATACATGTATTAAAGCGTTTAACAAAAAAGATATTTATCGTCATAAACTGTAGTGATTTTTTAGGCCCAAACTCAAATTAAGGAATTTTTTAAAGTATATGCTTAATAACAACTTGAGAAACATTTTCAGAGTGCTGGGAAAAATAGTCCATAAGAATACACAATTTGGAAACACAGGGACTGATTTTTACTTTTTAGATTTCAGTGAAGTGTTAATACTTCAAATATGTGAGAACAGGAAACTTTCTCTTCAAAAGTCTAATCATAGCTGTAAATGCAGTACAGTCATAGCAGCAGATGCAATAGAATGTCATCGTGAAACTCCATGAATTTTGAACTCAACTTCACCAAACCAGCTACAAAACTGAAATGGAATACATTGAAAATATATTGCAAGATGAAATGAAAATTCTAAGTGTTACTAAAGCTTCTGACTGATGTTCTGTGTAATATACTTTTCCTTTGAAGTCAGCTGTTAATCTCAGCATTCAGAAGTAGTTTGTTTAAATACTGATTAAAAAAATAATAATTCTGCAAAATAATTCTGGTAGACTTTCCTTATTTGTCTTTGTTTTGGTTGTTTACTTTTTCACTTTGCTCCTGTTTCTCCTAGGATACTAGTTAATAGAACAAGTTTCTCAACCCAGACTGGCTGTTTCCACTATCACTAGCTTGGGCAAGTTACTTCTTTGTGCCTCCATATATTCTGTGAAATAAGTAATATCTACCTCACAGGTTTGTGTAAAGATTAAGTGAGGAAAGAACTTGTGTAGAATACTACCACAAGCATACAGTAAGCATCTAAAAAATAAAGATGTTAGCTGTTTTCATAGATCTCCTCCCAGAGCTCCTTCCCCATTTCTGTTTCTAACATCTCTCCTCTCAACTTCCCAGGCCCAACTCATGTGTTTCTCTTTATGGTTGTATCAACCAATATTAACACCTTGCAACAACTTGCTATTACCTAATCAGATTTTACCCCATTTTAGTCATTTTTTAACATAACTGTTGATTTTCCATGTTGCTTTTAAAGAATGCTTTCAACTTGTGTGTTTTAAGTTGGCAGATGTTTTATTTTCTTCCCAGAGAAGTTTCTGTTTGTTTGTTTGTTTGTTTGTTTTGTAGAGATGGGGTTTTACCATATTGGTCAGGCTGGTCTCGAACTCCTGACCTAAGGTGGTCCACCTGCCTAGGCCTCCCAAAGTGCTGGGTTTATAAGTGTGAGCCACCACGTCCAGCTGAAGTTTCTGTTAAATGAGTTCTATTAGTTATATTTAAAATTAAGTAGAAAAGAATACCTATTTAGTTAATGTGGTAAAACTAAGCGATTTGTAATGGCTGAATACCTGTCATCAAGTTATATCTTGTAGCACTGATTTTGACCTTGGTGGTTTGGGGGCCACTTAAGTATATGCATGGTTCTTGTGGATGACCCAGTTGCAGCATGGTATATCTTGTTTTAGGAATCTGTACTGCGTTGATGTCACCCAAAGTTATTTACAAATTTTTGCTTATGACTGGTCTGTAAGATAAGTGCTTAAATACTTTCTTATGCCATTTATAGAAGACATGAGACCAAAAGTGTGGCAGCCAGCTATTTGATTTAGTAAACCTTTTAGTTAAAGGCTGTCAATTATATATCTTTTTGTCCTGTCAATAGTACGTCTTTATCTTTTTGTTTCTTCTCTGTATTATATACAATATAATATGTTAAAGTGCTAGGTCTTACATGAAAGTTTGCTTGTGATTAAGAAAATCATTTTCACGGTGAATAGAATGGTGGTGTTCTTTGTTTTACTGGCTTAATCTGTGTGGGTTTTCCCCCATAGTAGGTTCTGTGGTTGTGTAGCTCTTAAAATATATACTAACATGCTCTAGAAAAGAAGCAGTGTTTTTCATGTTTTATTATATTTGTATCTTGTATGTGAGGTCTTCTTTGAGAGAGAAACACATGTTTGGTGAGTTCATATTTCTTAAAATATACATGATTCTTCAGACCAGAATCTAATGAAATAGTACTCCCATTTGAAAACCAAAGAGTTAAGGCAAAACAGAGGATAAAAGTGATCAAATGATTAGCCAGGGGCTAACAGAAATTCTGGAAAGAATGACAGATATTATTATTAGGAAGAAATAGGATCTCGTATTCACTGAAGCTTTCTACAGCTACAGGTCCAAAAGAAATATTAGAAAATTACTGAAAGAGATGAATGTATGAAACTTTAGAAATGCATGTGGTGTTGGATTAATCCAAACAAGAAAGAAAGATGGGCAGATAATAAATCACATTATATAGGAAAATGGTTTTCGAAGTTCTCTCTCTCTCTCTCTCCCCCCACTTCCCACCTCCCTCTCTCCTCTCTCACTGTCTCTTTCTCTCTCTCTTTCTTGACATATTTAAGTACATCTAGGCCAGTTTCAGAAAATTCAATTCATGATTTTCATCATTGCACCATATATGTGGAGTTCTTTGGAATCAGTAAAATAATATAAAAACTCCAAATTCTTGCATGGAGGAGGTTAATCTAAACCTTCCTTCTGTTCTGTGCCAAATTGATAGCATTTTTCCTTATGAGAATATGGACAGTACAGAACATATTTTCACATACAATCAGTTGTAATACCCCATAACTAAAAGAGTTTGCAGAAATGTCTCAGTGGGTTTTAGTCAACAGCTATACTTCTGCTAGGGAAAAAGAAATCTTTGTAAACTGAAAAAATATGTATATGTATATTTTCATCACAGAGAAGTGATTAACTGTTCTAAATTTTACTTTGCCATAAATATATGTCATTTTACTAAAAAACAGTTGAGAGTATGTGTATGTTTGTGTGTATGGTATTCTCTCTCTCCATACAAATGTACACACAAACTAGTATGTATCCTTTTTTCCTGAAGTTAAATGGTTGCATAATGTCATAATCATGAAGTTCAGCTCCTTTCAAATAATGTTGATTGAGAAATACATTTTTCTTAAACTATTTGAGCCTTTTAATTAATTTTTCCTCAGATTTTTGCCATTGAAACTTGGCATTCATTTTTGTTCTTATTTTTTTTGGTAAGTTTTGTAAGGAGAAAGTGAAATGTTTTCTGAAATATAAATAAGTAATAAAATTAATGTGCACACAAAGTACACTCTTTATTCTTCATGGACACTTTCTTTTTGGCCCATACACACGCACACAATCTCTTGGGGGGAAAGAGAATCTTACTCTATTACACTAAAGTTCTGACTCCAAATCATCTGAGTTTCTATATATTTAAGTATTTAGGCTTAAACTCAAGTATTTGCATCTGAATTAGTTCTGTATTCTGTAAACTATTAAGTTTTTCCAGTATTTGATGGAAGGTTTATAGAATTTGGTTTTTATAGCTACATCAGAATTAGGATCATTATTAAAGTCCTTAAAAGCTAGTTATTTCTTGGACTCTGTTAGATTAAATGTGAGAAACAATGCTAGCTTCAGGTTATGATTGCATAATACAGATGAGTCCTGTTAATAAAATTGAATAAACGTTGGAAGTTTTTTCTTTTTAATGTGCTTAATGGTTTCCACTGAACCTTCTGTAATCTTTTTAGAGAATATGTAATTCATTATATTATTCTTTTTTGTCCTATGATTGCATGTGTTCATAATGTGGGGCTGGGTAGTAAAGAGAGGGAAAGAAAGGGTCAGAGGGACGGAGACTTCTCTGTTGTGGTGAGGCTCTTTCTCTAGTAAGAAAGAACAGATAATCAGGTTACTAGCCATACCCATTAAACTTCTATGTCTATGTCTGTTGTTGCTAAACTAACCTCTAATGCCTTAGATGGGGTGATAACGCATAACAGAGTTTTCGTAAAACTTCATATAAAATTTCATTTAAAAGTAGCCTGTAATCAAGACCCTTTCTCTTACTAAATAGTTTCCTTTGGACTTGAAATGTAAACAAAAGATACTTAATGAACTTAACAATTATTCTTCTCTACAGTTACTTTATGTAAGTTAATCTTTCATATGTTGTCATAACTCTAATGAACATCTGTGTTCCTAGATGGATTATTCTTTAAACTGTTTAAACGCATAGAATTCTAATAGGAACACTTTTTATTCTTTTGCCGCTATGTCATCTTATCTTTTAATTATTAAAACAGAGCTTCCTGCTGCTATTGCAGAATTTTTGACTGGAGACTCTAATAGGTAAGAAAAGATATTTTACATTGTGTCCATTCATTTATTAATTCAAAAAAATGTTTATTAAGCTTTAGTGGCAAGCAAAATAAATGTAGTCCTTGCCCTCAAGATTCTTAAAAATTAGACCGAAGTGAAGTAGAATAGAAACTACTCAGCCAATGTTTATTGATTACCCATATGAAAGCGCTGTTCTGTGAATCACCTGAAGCACCAGATATAATCCTTGCATTCCTTGTGGGCTAAGGCAGGTCTGAGATTGAGATGCTCTTGAGGAGGAGTAAAGGATAAATTTCTGGGGATATGCAAGACTGGGGTTGGGGATGAGAGAAGTTTGAATATACTGACAGTACAGGTCTTAAACAAAGGAGGGGAGTGAATGATATTGCTGTCATTTCTCAGCAAATCGTAGTGACAAAAAATTGTGGTAGTTACAACTATATCTGTGTGAGATTCCTATAATATGGCATGGCAAAAAAATAATTTTAAAGGACTTAATTGTTTCATTTCCTGTTTTTGAACAATATTATAAACAATACTAAACCACATTGTATCTCTTTTATTCTTCATTATTTAAAAAATGCATCTTATATTTGACTCATCTCTTTATAAGGAAAAAACAAAATTAATTGTGCTTTTTTTTCTCTATGTAGAACAGGAACGTTTTAGGAAAATGAACTTGAAAAGACAGGATAAATCATTTTAATTGCCATCAAGTTATTTCACATAGTTAAGTTTCAAACCACAACACAAAACCTGTCAGACTTTTAGATTTGAATATTGGGTTGTTCTGCTTCAATAATCAAACTTGTTCTGGAATGCAAGGAAAGGTTTCAAAAATTAATTTTTAGCTTTGGCAATTCAGCTTCCATTAAATAATTCTACTTAGACAACTACAAATACATATTTGTAAGAAAAGTTTAGATCTTAATAGAAACCATCAAGAAAATGTAGTTGAAAAGAGACATGTAGAAGTCCTAAATCATTTTTCTTCATCAGAAGATATTGTTCCTTGTATGATACTTTACAGTTAGTGAGGTTTCCACATTTATTATCACATCTAATACTCAAATTACCTTATCTGCAGCTTTATCCAGTCACATTGTGATTTTATGCTTGGTTTGATAAACAATTCCTATAAGAAATAGCCATGTAAAATTCATTTTTGTATTTGCTGTAAAAAATATTGAGGGCACCTTCTATTACTCAAATTCTGTTAATAAAAATACTACTGCTCAAATTCTATGTGAGAAATTTGTATTTTAGGGTTAAGAACTCAAGGCAATATGAGGTAGAATAAAGAGTGCTAGACTAAGAAAAAGGAGATGTATGTTCTATCCATTTCATATTCAATAATTTCAGGAACTTAACTTATTTTGACTATGTAACTTACTTTGAGCCTTAGGTTTTTTACGTGGTATAAAGGGGGTGCCAATATTGCCTTCTTAATAAAGTTGCTGGGATGATCCAATAAGATATCTAGACACATAGCATATGTATAAACAAGCATATGTTTACACAAACTTATAGCACAGTATAAATGTGGACAATTAAGAAATTCTAATAATTACTATATTAAAGGTGGTGTTTTCCTTTTTGCCCTGACTGCTGGGAAGCTCAGAGTCAAATGGACACATTTGAATTAATATATCTGTGTTAATTCCAATAGTTGTCACATGTGTTTTATTTTTTCTTGGACCTGAGTTTGGTGGCTTCTATTTATGTTCTTTTATTGTTGTATGTCTGTGGGAAGTAGAGGGATTATAAATACATGTAATATTTTAGAAATAATTAAAGTAGTATGTGGCAGAATTGATATTGAAACTTAGGTCTTCTTTCTCTAAAAGTGATATTTTTAACATAGCTTTATTTTAAATGATTAGCAGATGATTTCCATTATTGCATTGATTTTTTTTTGTTTTTGTAAATAAAAATTAAAATGAACTTCCTTTTCACTCATATTAATATAAAATTGATTAAAATATTATTTTTCCATGTTAGAAATAGATTTTTTAAGTCATATACTTCAAAATAATGTAGTCAGTTTGCATCATCTCTGTTATGATGTTTTAAAATTGTACATTTTTTAGCCTCATCTTATTTTAGGTGTAATATATATTCATTTATTTTGGCTAATTATATTAACTGGTTTGAATGCTGATAAATCATTAATCTTGAAAGCCTGATGCTATAAAATAATTAAGAAACAAATATTATGATACTTGATTTTCACTATCTATAAAGAACAATTTTTTTCTAAATAGACTTACATAGCAGTATTTATTCTTTGAGATCAACATGATATTGATATGCTTTTATTTTAGGGTTTGATTTACAATAAATTTTACTTAAGATCTTTCAGGTGTGCTAATTTCCTGGGTTATGTGTTAGTTTGATGTACCTTTGAAATATAAACCTTTATAAAGATATTATCCAAAAAAACTGCATAATATTCTAATTTCAAAAATACTGTTAGAAGTCAGAAGCTATAATACTTAATACTGAACTTTCTTGATATATCTATATTTCATAGAATAACTTACATTTTTAAAATCTATGGCTGTTAAAGTTGGAAGCTCTCTGTTAACATTTAATGATCTTGTCAGGGGAATATGATTGACACAATTAAGTTGTCTTGCATTTTAGTTACATAATTGATATGGGATGTGAGTAAGATCCTAATTCGGAACATATGATACTCTTGTTCCACTCCTTTCGAGAATGAAATTAAAGCGACTTATAAATAAATCTGGTTTTCATTAAAATTTGGAAAAAAACATCTGCATGCCAAAGCATTTGCAATACAGCTAAGGATTTATACTCTATATTTCATACTTGGAACATTTTTATCATACAGGATTAAATCCACAGATCAAACAAGTTCTTTAGGAAGTATAAAGGTTTTTACTCTAATTCTTTTGGCTTAAAGAGAATGTATATTTAGATCACAGTAGGAAAATAGGAGTTCTGTTTGATAATTCTTTATTCCCCCCTTAGGAAAAAATTAAAGTTAGTACATTCTTCTAAGATACTTATTTACAAAAGAAATATATTTAATATATACTTTTTGAGGTTTCTTTTTACTAGTTTGTATTTCTCAGACAGCAGTTTTATTTTGTAAGTTTAATAATTTCTGTTCTTTGGGAAATATCCATTCCCAAACACAATTCATTTGTCTGTGACACACACATGCAATCTAAACTAATTGTACTGTGTATTATGTTGTTGCCTTTATTGTTAATGAATGGTAAAGAAAAGCACTGTATTTACAATTGGCTTTATTAAGATGAATTATTAAGGATAAGAAATGATTAACAATAACCAGTAGCAACACCAAGGATAGAGAAATTACATTTTACAGTAAAATTCTTGTTATAGTAAGAATTTAAAGTTCAATCCTATGAAAAGGAGAATGCAAAGCATGATCTTGAAATAAATGAGGTAGTATCTGAGAGTATTTCCATTCCCACTGACCCTAAGATCATCATCATCCTTTTGCTGATTTTACAGACATATAAAATGAAGCTCTTGAGTCAAATGATCTCTAAGGTCTCTTCCAGCTCTAACATTCCATAACAGTGATTCTGAGTTCCTGCTGGGAGGAGGTAAAGTTATCTTTAGGCCCACAGTTCAGTGCTTCGGTCAGTTCTGTGATCTGAAATCACAGTTCAGATCACATGAACTGTGATCTGAAATAGTATAAAGTAACTGGTGTTCAGAATTTCAAAAAGTGTTTCTTTATTCTTATGCAAGAGTAAAGAGTCCTAGTCCTGGGGATTAAATGGTCCCTTTTGTACAACTGTAGCTTCATGACATTTTTTTTTCTTTTAAAGAGTGAAATTGGCTTATAATAATTTTTTGTTTTATTTCATTATGGTAAGAACACTTCACATGAAGTCTGCACTCTCAACAGATTTTTAAGTGTATAATACAGTATTGTTATCTATGAGGGACAGCAAAACTAACAGATGGAATTTACTTTGGTGCTTCTTTGGGCATTTTTCCTCCTGCCTCTGCAACTGTCTGGGTCTAATATTGGGTCCCAGAAGGGAAGACATTTCAGACATAGAGCCCTGGGCCTTTTGCCAGCTTCAGAAATTTGGTTGCCAGGTGTTCCTCAATGAAAGATCTTTTGAAGTTCCTGTTTTGAGTCTTACTCAAGAGTGACTACAAGATAAACATGTTGAGTATCATTTTTTTGTATTATTAATATGTGTACTCTTTAGTACTTCCTACATGCCAGCAATCGAGGAGCATATTGGAAATGCAGAGAGCAAAGCTTCCCACTAATGCTACAAATACTTATGCATAGGTTATAGTTTCTAGCATCTTCATTTCCTAATGACACAAATTAGGGTGGGGAAGGGAAAAGTGTCATCATGGTGCTGTTTCTGCTGCTGCTCCTTCTCTTGCTTTCTTAAAGAGAAAGTTGCCAGCACCCAATAGTAACAATTAAAGATACAATGTCAAGTACTCCCTCATAAACCAGGGTGTAAAAGAACTTCAGCAAATCATAAAGTTTATGTTAGAAGCCATGGATTGAAATCCATATAAAGGAAGACCTTTGCTTAATTTAACATGGCAGTGGGAGACTGGCTATCTGGTAGAGAATGAAAAAGGATGCATTATTGCGAAGTGGGAATTTTGAGATTATCTACCAAACAATTTGAAAAAGTCCCTGTTGGTCTTTGATGCCCCAAACTCCCATTTTTGCATAAGTTTTACTTTGTTGCTATTGTGCATGTGTATGTATGTATTTTTATATTTCAATGTAAAAATCTGACAGCTACATTAAAGAAAATTTAGAAAAGAAAGCAAAGAAAAATCATGTATAACATCTCTAACCTAGTAACTGTCCTTTCAATTCTTTTGAATTTTTCCAAAAAGCTTCGAAATATATAGTAAATAATCATATTTATATCATTTTCCATTTTATTCTATTGTATTTTTTTCTTAAAGCCATGTAACATTCCACTGAGTATGCTGTTCTAAATATTTTCAAATGTTGGATATATAGACTATATAGAGTTTTCCTTTAGCTTCTTAATATTATAATAATGTATCCAGCAGCTTCATGTACATAGAATTTTCTCTATTTTCTAGAACAGATTGCCACTACATTTTTATTGCTCTTGCTACATATAATCACTGTTTTTCCAAGAGATAGTACTAATTGGCAACATCACTATAATATATAAAGTCCAGGTGTGTCACATCCTTGAATATTTTTGTTTGCTAATTTTGCTAGATTAATTGCAATAATCTCATTTTTTTTTTAATTAGCACTGGTGATTGAATTTTCTTCTTGTGTATTTACTAGTTGTATTTTTTTTCTTTCATGAATTGTCTCACTTTTACATACAAATCTATTAAGGTCTTGGGGAATTAACTTTAACTTTTGAAAATGTCTCCATATTTATCTCACATTGAAAAATTGAAACCATATATGTGTAAACAAGGAGAAAATAAAAATTACTTATATTGCTAGCACATAAAAATATCTACTTTTTGGTACTTTAAATATATCTTTCTGGCTTTATATGTGTATCCAGTTTTTTTTTTTCAATGAACAAATACAGAATCATTGTTAGCCTACCTTTTTCTCGTTCTGTATTCTAATGGCTTTATATGAAAATTTTAGTATCTTACAATTGGTAATTCATGCCCTTTCCTGAAATTTGGAAAAATGTATATAGAAAACTATAAGGAAGAAAAGTGACCCATTATTTTACCACCCAGAGATAATGACTATCAATATATTTTATTTCCTGTCTATTTTTAATGCATTTATGTTTTTCCTTAAAATTATCATGATACACACACATATGATGTTTACTGAATATTCAGTATGTTGTTATTTCAAAATTATCATGGTCTTGGATGTTTGTTTTTAATTTTTATAATTTTAAGTGTTTTCAGTAAACAACTTTTTATAAAAGTCTTTGTTCTTCGGGAACAGAAAACTAAACACTGTATGTTCTCACCTGTAAGTGGGAGTTGAACAATGAGAACACAGGGACAGTGGGAGGGGAACATCACATACCAGGGCCTGTTGGGGGATGGAGGGCAAAGGGAAGGAGAGCATTAGGACAAATACCTAATACGTGTGGGGCTTAAAACCTAGATCACGGGTTGATAGGTGTGGCAAACCAACATGGCACACATATACCTACCTACGTAACAACCTGTATGTTCTGCACATGGACCCTGGAATTTAAAATAAAATTTTAAAAACCCTTTATTCTTATTGTTTACTTTTGATAATCTTTTATAAGTGTTAAAGCACATAATTGTTTGAAAATTCTTTGTATTTGTTGCCAGATTGCTTTCCAGATAGGTACTTTGTGTAGTTTGCATTCTCACCAGCTTTTTGCATTCCTTATCACTCCTCACTAATGTTGGCTATTATTTTATTTTTAAATATTTATTAAGTTGGTAATTGGAAATGGCATCTCTTTGTTTTTATACATTTCTAAATGTAAATTCATTAATAAGAATAATAGGATCCCACAAGAACATTTTAATGAAAGGAAGTGGACTTTTCCTAATGGCTGGTTGTAGTGGTTGAGTGTGTGTGTGTGTGTTTGTGTGTGTGTGTGTGTGTGTACACAAACACTGGAGTCCCATGTCTAAAAAAGGACTTTTTTTCTAATAGATATTGGGATCTTGATGGACAAACACTACTAATAATCATATGTGTTGGCATTGTGTTCCCTCTTGCACTTCTTCCCAAAATAGGTAAGTCTTTATAGAAGAGCACATGATCTGTTTAGAAAAAGGAAAGAAGGGAGGGAGGGAAAGAGAGAAATATTAAAGGACTTTAAAATTTCACAGTACCACATTTTTGGCAGAAGGATGGTGGTTGTGAATAATTTTAAACTTGGCCTTATTTTGGGTTCTTCAGCCTTCAGGCCTGCCTAGTTAACCTATTACTTGGTTTGCAGCAGTAGTTTGTCTGCCCCACTAAAATAAAATCTTTACAGCGGAACATTAAAGAGCAGCCTTTCCTTACAGTGTACCATTAGTGGTAAGCCAGTTCCAATTCTGCTGTACAGAGCTGCATAAATGATCTGTGACAGATAGTTGGAATGTTGTTATTCTGAGCCCTAAGCCCCAGATACCAAGCACTGTAATAGGAAACATGCCCAAGATGTATAGCTTTAGTTGTACGTAAAGATCACTTTCCTTATAAATTGCTTTTTATTTTACTGTTATTTTACAGGCTTCCTTGGCTACACAAGTAGTTTATCATTTTTTTTTTATGATGTTCTTTGCTCTTGTGGTAAGTTTAAAATATAATGCACTGCTTATCTCCTCACTAAAATTGGACTCATTGTGTTAATGTCTTTTTTACTTTTAGCTGTTTTGTGTTGGGAAGGGTATCTAATTTTATTTCATTGTGTTATTAAAAGCACTTTTGTTCCATAAAATTATTTCCTTCATTGTATCTATTTTGAAGGGCTTAGCTTAGCTAGAACAGCATTTCAAATTCAGTATTTCTTGTGGTTAACTAGCGAGAAGAGCATGCCAATTCTATTAAAATCTTAGATGGAGTGTAATTCTTTGTGTAAGTGTATAAATTTATTTCTGTACAATATTGTATGAAGAATCAGTCTGGCTCTAGTCTGTAAAATCTATTTGATACTAGTCATCTTAACTTTGAAACTTTGTTCCATTAATGAAAAACATAGCTTGTGGGACTATATTGAGGAGATTTAGTAAGAACTGGGTTGCCTGTATTCCTGTTTTGTCTGGTCTATTCAGCATAGATAAATTCTCATAAAATACTACTACAAATAAATATTTTTCTTCACATGTGGGCTATATTTCTTATTTTTTTATTAGCTCATTTTTATTATAATGTATAAAAAGTCAGATGGTAAATTTAACTTACTTCGATATTTTAAAATACTTTAATATAAAGATAAAAGAGAATTTAAATTTATTTCTTTCTAATCCTTCTAAAACACCTTAACATTCTAAAGATAGTACCTTTGTGTTAAATTTTTAAGTCCTTTTTCTTTGTTTAGCAGTTTATTTCATAATCAGTATCTAAATGTCAAACCTTAAGTAGAATTAAGCATTTTTAACTTTCCAAGAATACACATGTCCAAATGGGTTTTTCATAGGCTTGATTCAACTCTTTCTTGTTATTGAGAATGCATGAAAGAAAATAGCCATATGTAAGAGCAGGATAGCACATCAGTAGTTAAGCCATATTATAGAGCCAGATTTCAAAGCTGTCAAAACAACCTACGGTGCATTAACGTAGGCTAAGCTATCTTCTGAGACACAGGGATAAATAACTTTAAATTATTTAAACAAAGTGGAAGTGACCCTGATTTTAGTGTATGTAAGCATTTATCCTCCATTGAATGCTCTTAAAACTAAAAACGTTTAACAGTGTTTGCATTTAATAATTTGTTCAATTTAACAACATTAAAATCATTCCTCCTCTTCTCTCCCCACTTGTCTGACTTATATCTTACAAATAAGTGAATTGAACATACACTTTGTAGGCTCCATATTGAAGAGAAAAAACTACATATTTTCATCATAATTTGATTGTTGCGAAGCATGGTTAGAAGTGGTTTACATATGCAAAGGAATGTATGGATATTAAAGAGTTCAGTGTAGATAACATATTGAATTTTTCTCTCACAGATAATTGGCAATGCACTCCTTGCATATTTAGGAGTAAGTTGGTTTTCATAGCCAATAGCGTAATGCAGGTGAAATGTATTGATATGATATGTCTGCTGTAGTTTTGTTTCTGTCATGGCAGATACTTTTTAATAAAATGCAGATTTCTACTGTAGCAGTCATATGGAAATAATACCCATAGTCTACATTTATTGTAATGCCTTATAAACCATCTGCTCAGATTTTTACCTGTGAGCACAGTTTAAATTTAATCTAAAATGGGTCAATGAAGGACATTCCATACACTTTTTTAAAATGCTCTTTTTAATTGGCATATTTCTTTTATTTTTTTATGATTTTATTTTTTGAAACAGAGTTTCACTTTGTCACCCAGCCTAGAGTGCAGTGGCGCAATCTCAGCTCACTGCAACTTCCACCTCCCCAGTTCAAGCAATTCTCCTGACTCAGCCTCCCAAGTAGCAGGGATTACAGGTGCCAGCTAATGCTTTTGTATTTTTAGTAGAGATGGGTTTCACCACGTTGGCCAGGCAGGTCTCAAACTCCTGACCTCAAGTGATCCACCCACCTTGGCCTCCCAGAGTGCTGAGCCACTGCGCCCAGCCACCATATTTATTTTAGATTCTCTGAGTGTTAGGTTTTGACATACATGTGGTTAGGAAAAGGAAATGTATATATATTAACCCAGAATTTTGGAAGAATATCAATTTTTTATTTATTATTTTTGTCAATATGTGTTTGTAATTATTTATAGTATTTATATCACATTTAAAAAAATCAGTTTAGAAATGATTATTTCCTTATACTCTCTGAATAATGTTAAAGTCTATATTTTATTTGTTCTCCCAGATCTGTATTTTCATTTAAAAAATTTAACCTAAATTTTTGCCCCCTCTTAAATAATTTACAATTTTAAAAATATTTTATCAATGTCTCAGAATGATAGCAAAAAGATGGATTTATCTTTTTTGTTGAATTTACTTCTTCTGGTTCATTTTAGAACACAGATTGCCATTCTTCCTTAAAGTTCTATCTTAAGTACAGATTAGTATTCTAAGCAACATTGTTAATAAGTTGGTAATCCAATTAGACAACTTTTTTAAGAGACAGAGTCTCACTCCAGTCACCCAGACTGGAGTGCATTGGCATGATCATGGCTCACTGCAGCATCAGACTCCTGTACCTACGTGATTCTCTGCCTCAGCTTCCTGAGCAGCTAGAACTATAGCCTCATGCCACCACACCTTGCTAATTTAAAAAAAAAATGTTTGTAGAGACAGAGTCTCATTATGTTGCCCAGGCTAGTCCTGAACTCCTGTGTTCAATGGATCCTCCCACCTTGGTCTCCCAAAGTGTTCAGGATTATAGACGTGAGCCACTGCGCTGGCCTGAAATACAGAATTATTTAAATGGATTTTAGTCAGAAGCCTTCCTTCTACTCAACACTACATTAGGCATTACAGGATGTGGGAATTTAACCTGGACACTAGTCTTAAGGATCTGTAAGTCTAGTACAAGAGATAAGATTGATTTCTTAGCCAGGAGTGGTTGCACGTGCCTGTAATCCCAGCTACTCGGGAGGCTGAGGCAGGAGAATCGCTTGAACAAGGAAGGCAGAGGTTGCGGTGGGCCGAGATTGCGCCATTGCATTCCACCTTGGGTGATAGGGTGAGACTCTGTCTCAATAAAAAGAGATTAATTTCTTTTCAAACATGGAGAACAATGTGTGCAATATGAGTATTGGTATATTTGCTTCAGAATAAGAGTCTCAAGAGTTGGGAGGAGACAAGGCTCACTGAGAGCTAGAGTTTTAAAGGAAATAAAACTTGAGCAAAGGGCTTAGAGCAGAGAGAAGGGAGGCCTTTTGTACAAGTAAACAAATGTTTTTAATACTTAATCTCCTTTTTCCCTTTGTCTTTCCAATCCCAAGACTTATTTTTTTACCAACCAGAGCAAGGACTTTCTGCTAATCTTTCCTCTTCGTTGTTGGGTCTCATTTCACTCCCGTTCTGTACTACTACTTTGTGAGACATTATCTCTGTCCACCCCATATCACCATGCAGGCTTGTAGTTGGGATGGATCTTTACAGAGAAATTAGCTGTAGTAACTGAATTGTCTATTAATATAAAATCAGACTGCTACTTATTTTTTTTCTAATTAATAAAAATGATTATATTGCATTTTGGAGCATTGCTTTGAAATATTTTGATTTGAAAGCTTAAGAAATAACAACTGATAAATGAGGTAGCTCACATACAGAGTTTATCAAGGTACCTGGTGCACAGCAAGTGCTCAGTAAATGGTTGTTTCTGCCAACACTACCACTGTTAATAAGAGGAAAATATAAGAAACTGAATTTGGGCCAGCATATTGGCTCACCCCTGTAATCCCAGCACTTTGAGAGGGTGAGGCAGGCAGATCACTTGAGCCCAGGAGTTCAAGACCAGCCTGCGCAACATAGCGAAACCTTGTCTCTACAAAAACCACAAAAATTAGCTGGATGTGATGCCCACATGCCTGTAGTCCCAGCTACTTGAGAGGCTGAGGTGGAAGGATGGTTTGAGTCTGGGATGTGGAGGCTGCAGTGAGCCGAGATTGTGTTACTGCACTCCAGGCTGGGTGACAGAGTGAGACCCTGTCTAAAAAAACAAGAAAAGAAACTGAATTTGGAGCACTTTTAGTGTGGCTGAAGAGAGACCTCATAACAACCTTACTTCTCTAGCTTCTCTCTTACCCCATTCTTATGGGTTTTTTTTTTTTAAACCTATCAAGAAAATGATGGTGAGATTATTGCTTTTGATTTTGTTATTTCCTTTTGGTAAGTTAACCATTTCATTTTATGTCATATTGAAAACTTAAGAAATGTCAAAGCAACTTGTCCAGTTTACATAATAATTTTTTTCTTGGTGAGTTTTTAAATTAAGAGTGATTATTTAGTTCACTCATTAACTTAATCCTAAAAGTATACATTTTCTTTAGATTTGTTTTATCAGTGTATAAAATTTTGATTAACTTAGTCAAAATCTAAAACTAGATAAATGCCAAGTAGGAATAGAAATGGTGTTTACATATTGGTCCCCTGAAAAGGACAAATTCTTTATTCTTTCTTGCCCCTGTATGCACTGGGACTAAGCCTGGAGCAAACATTTACAGAGTAATTATGTGCCCTGAAACAACAGCAACAGTGGTCATATTGACAGAGTCTCAACTATAGGTCTAAGAACAGGATGGCCACAATTAAGAGTAAAAACCTGAAACATTTTCATGGATTAATTCTGGGAAACTGCACCCCTATGATTTCTTTTAATGTTTCTTGTTTAAATTTATTTTTACTAGCTGGAGTTCCCTAGCTATATGCTCTTATTCCAGCCAGCTTTCTCCACATTCGCCAAAAATAATACAAATCTGTAAAAGTAAGGAGGGCAGCACTTAATACATACATCAGAAATCCCTGAGCTCCTCCTGTATATAGCGTCTCTACTTATTTCTTCCTGTGGCCTTTCCGTAACTGCTATTAAATGTTTCTGTAGTCACTACTGATACCTGCTCCACAAATAACCATATTCTTGTATGACTGTCACCAAAAACAAGGTGTTCCTATTTTGAGTTGCACTTAAAAAAAAAAAAGCCTTGATGTTGTTGGAATTTTGAATGTTGACATAGAGTACCCTTAGCCTTTAATGTGGGAGATCTCTAACACCCCGTGGTCCCCAACTGCCTCCCTACCACAGGTGATCATGTTACATGTTGACCCCATTCTAACTAGGAAAAGTCATAGAAGCAGAGACTCTTCTGTTAGCATCATATTTGATATGGTGTTAGATTAATTGAAATGATATTGACCTATTTAAATTCATTGTCTTATTAATCTTATAAGAAATGATCTGAGTACTGATTCTGTTTACTTTTTTAGGTAATAATCAAAAAATGGTCCATCCCTTGCCCTCTGACATTAAATTATGTAGAGAAATGCTTCCAGGTAATAGTTTATATTTTCTTTTCAGTTTCTTCCTTTTTATTTCAAACTAAAAAGAAAAAAAGACTAATGATTCTTTTCAGATTAATGAAAAAGTAATGGCTATATAGCATTTTAGAACTTTGTTTTGAAATATTTTGATTTGAAAGCCTAGTAATAATAAATTCATCATTTTTATTGATATATTTGAAATTTAATGGCTGTTGGTTTCTCTTTTTCCCCTCAATACTCTTAAACAGATTTCAAATGCTACAGATGATTGTAAACCAAAGCTCTTTCATTTCTCCAAAGAGGTGTGTAAGTTATTAACAGATACTTTTAGTTGATTTTTCACATTTCAAGTTTTAAGAGGTTTGTGTAACAGGGTCTCTTAGGTCTTTGTACCTGTAACTAATTAATTTTCATGAAAGTGCTAAGTATAGGATTGCCTACCAGAAGAATACTATTATTTAACACAGGGTGGCCCATTATGAAACAGCCACCTTTTTTTTTTTCCTGGCATGCCTTTAAATGGAGCCTGTTTTAAATGGGCCTCTGCCTAAAAGAACAGATTTACCGAATGTCTGGTCTGGCCAATAAGGTCCTCTGTGGATACAGACTTCCTGTTGCCCTCTGGACTTGTAAAGCTAAATAGCCAATTATATCAAAAACTCTTCCCCTGTGAGTAGAACCTTGGTCTGTAGCTAAACAGCCTCATCATTGGACTAGTGATTGAGTACTGCCAATATATCTTCTGGCCAACATTCCAAAGTTGAAATTTATGATGCCAGGAGTACAGACTAGAAGACCAAATCTTTTTGCCTTCTCTATGAGCCATAGGATACAGGAAATGCCTGTAAGAGTTCCTGAGCATCAGCAGAGGAGACAAGAACTGTGACCTGGATGGTCTCTGCTTTACCCTTCTAGAAGAGCTCAGTCTTCCCTGTTGCTGCAGGTTTCTTCATCTATACTTTCTGACTGCTGAAATGCTATTTTGCACAGGTCCCAGATGATAGAATCCCCTCTGCTCATGTACAACTGTATTAGTGTTGAATGTTAGTGTGGTTACTCCTCCATGCAGAATTTTCCTTTTTATCTCTAGTTTTTAAATGAGAAATATCTATCTGGCCCCAGAAGGGAGATTACCACATTTTTTACATGATAAAGACCTCCAGATGCCTTAAAGATCTAGGTAGGATAATTGACAAGCCAGGAAATTGAGCAATATATGAAATAGAGAATTTGTGAATTAAATTCCTATTCCCCTAATTCAGCTTCAGGAAACACTACAGCTTCGTTTCTTCTAACCTCTCTCAGATACATTAAGACTCTAGGCATTGTGTCCCAAGAGAGGTCTTCATTTCTGGAATTTCTTTTGTTTAGGAGCCTAAAAGTAAAGTGGAAATTTTTTTAGAGCAGAAAGGAGAAAATAGATCACCATCATCTGTTTGGTAAAGATATTTTTCACTTAAATGGTAAATTTTTTTGCTTTACTCTGACTCTTAAGTATTCTAATAATAAAAACAAAATAAAACCTTATACTTGTATATTACATTAGATCTCTTAAGAGTTTGTATGTCTAGAATAAATGATATTCATTCCCACCAAAAGAGATCCTACTCACAGATGCTGGCAATATTAAAATATAATTAATATTTTCAGTATTCCCTTGGATTGTGTTTATGAAAGCAGGTTCAAGAGCATTAACTATTAGTGCTGCTTAGGGTAATAAGATATATATAAATTCTACATACATTTAAAAGACTGAGAATAAAAAAGAACATTTCTAAAATGTTATTTTTATCTTATTTAAATATTATTTATCTTACATAATTTTAAAAATCTTATCCAGATAATGTAGAAGTAGTGATTGTAGTAAAAGCAACATGGTATGGGAAGGAAGACAAAAAATATTCTGGCTAGTACAGGCAAGCCAACTATCAAATAAAATATTTGTTGATGATCACAAGTGTTTTTCTCTTTCAGAAATTCTTATTTTAAAAAGAGATGACTCATAAAAGATTAAATAAATTTAATCAAATTGATTTTTTAAACAACTGAGTTTGTTGTCAAATGAAATAATGGTTTCAGTAGAGAAGCATTTAATAATTTTGTCTTTTTGAAAACTTTTTTCAGAGTGCTTATGCCCTACCAACCATGGCTTTTTCATTTCTCTGCCATACCTCAGTATTACCCATATACTGTGAACTTCAAAGGTACTGTAGAGTCCTGGAATATTTTAAATATATTGTGTATCTTTTTACCTCTAGGGCTTTCAGATTGAATGACATTCTCTTTTATTAATCCTTTTCTCTCATCAGTGGATTCTAAGTGTTAGTTTAAAACAAAACAACCAAGAGTTCTGTTCAAGTTGAGAATGTTTCCTAGAAGTGTAATCTTTGAAGCCAGGCATGGTGGCTCATGCCTGTAATCCCAACACTTTGGGAGGCCGAGATGGATGGATCACCTGAGGTCAGGAGTTCAAGACCAGCCTGGCCAACATGATAAAGCCCCGTCTTTACTAAAAAATACAAAAAAATTAGCTGGGTGTGGTGTCGGGCGCCTGTAATCCCAGCTACTCGTGAGGCTGAGGCAGCAGAATAGCTTGAACTGGGAGTGAGCCAAGATCATGCTATTGCACTGCTGCCTGGGTGACAGAGCAAGACTGTCTCAAGAAGAAGGAGAAGGAGAATGAGGAGAAGAAGAGTAATCTTCGTGTACTAATTTCAAATGATGAATTCTAGTATATACTTACTGATGAAGTGGGCTTGAATGATTGAGGAATTCTCTTGACTAGCTTCCTGCTTTAGATATAATTCACATCACATATTCTACCTTTGCCGTTTTTGTCTTTTAGTCCTTCAAAGAAGAGAATGCAGAATGTTACCAATACAGCAATTGCTTTAAGTTTTCTCATTTATTTTATATCTGCACTCTTTGGGTACCTCACTTTTTATGGTAAGTATATTTTAAAATTATAGATGACAAAATAATAGTTATATAGATGGCCTCACACCAATGTATAGACTTTATTTATGCCTTTTATTACTAAGTTAATTCATTCAGGTCGCCAGATTACAATGCAGTACTGTGGTGCCTCTTGAGGCCTAAAGAACTGGATTATCTTTCTTTTACAAAGGTAGTTCAGGTTTAAGATTAATAACTTCTTATGAAAATTTTCTTAACCACTTAAGGAAAACATCAGGCATAGGGGCATTGATTCTTCCTATAAGAAAAAATGTGCAATTTTAATGATTTTGTTTTTCTTAAATTTTGAATTCAGTATATTAGTCTCATTCAGAAATTTGGGGGTTTGGCGAGTCAGTCATCACAATTGCAAAAGAGCAAGTTGAGAAAGGAAAGGGTTTTACACTGGACTATAGCTGTATACTTAGATGTCAGATGTCTCTGCCCTCAGACCTAATTATTACAGGATTCAGCAGATGTGCACTCTATGATGCCCCATGACCTTTCTCCTTAATTTTTTTTTACAGGTTCTTTCAAATTTATGCAACAAAAATAAATTGTGTTTTATTTCTTTTGCAAAACTTACCTGCTTTGTATGTTGATTTTCTTTTTCCTCTTCTGATAAGAACCTCAGGAAAAAGTAAAGTTCCATGTACACCATCAGTAAAAGCATTATTTCCAATGTGAGCATGGTGCCTTGCTAGAGACACTACAAAAAAAGTTAAAACAGGTTGTCAAGGTGTTCTGATCATCATTAATAAAACAAAATTACTTAAATATGTAAACTTTATTTTTGGATATTCGGTTTGTTAGTTTTAATACAGACTTGAACTTAATAAGACTTTTCTGTGTCAGTAAGATACTATAACAAGGGTCTCTTGGGATTCAAAAATATTTTGTATAGCAGACTAGCTCTGTATTTCTTTTTATGAAAATTGTCACCTGGCACAAACACTGTTATATTTATGGATCTTCAGCAATGAGAAAAAGTCCAAAAACACTGACCTCCTTCTTCTCCCTATAAATAAGTAGAACTATCTGGAAGAAAACTCAGATGGCTTGCCAATATCCAGGCTGAGAAATATTTATGTGAATCACCATTAGGTGCTTAGAAGCTGTATTAAATTGTAGCTGTATTAGACTGAAAAGGGATGTGGAGGAGGGATGGAAGCTACTACATTCATTGAGCTAACATTTAAGAAAGTGTTAGGTATTTTATATATACTGCCTAACTTAATCCTTATAACAACTCTGCAAGCTCAGTGTAGGTTCATTTAGGTTGAGTAATTAAACCAGATACTGAAGCCAATTAATAATGGAATTGGGATTTGAATCCAGTTGTGTCTGTCTCTAAAGCCAATGCCTTTATTACTGTGCTGTCTCCTCAGAAATTATGCCACAGAAGCCAGATCCTTTATTCCAAGTTTCTTTTAAGGTGGACTTTTAGAAAAATGTGACTCACTTAAGCTCTAGGCATCCATCTATGTATGTATCTATGTATAATCTATCTATCTAACATTATTGTTTGAACACAAAGGCTAAAGATTTTCAGCATGTAGATGGCATGTTTCCTAGACAGGGATTTGCCTAGTTATCAGGTAAAGCCATTATGTTGTCTCTGATGTAATCCCTTCTTCACCAATGCAGATTCTTCAGAGTATGCAAATTTTATATAATGGAGAAATATACATCTAAGAAAAATCACATGGTAGGTAGGTATATGATTGATTGATAGGTAGGTAGGTAGGTAGGTAGGTAGGTAGGTAGGTAGGTAGGCAGGCAGGCAGATGGGTGGGTGGGTGGGTGGATGGATGGATGGATGGATGGATGGATGGATGGATGGATGGATTAGATAGATAGATGATTGATTGATAGAATAAATGATACAAAAGTGAGTTTTCTCCAAAGACAGAAGAGGCAGATAATGATTTGCTCTTGAATTGTAAATTATAACAAAGAAAAGCCTTTGGTCATATCTTTCTATCAGGATAACAGGAGTTTTGTGTCATAGGAAGAAATTGCTGATTGAACCTGAGGTCTTATCAGGGGCTGGCCTCAACTTAAGGCTTTCAATTCATTTAATAGATGAGCAACTAAAGCCCAGAGAGGTGATGTGACCTGTCACAGAATTAAAGGCAGGTTTCCTGAATACTAATCCAGTGTTCTTTCTGCTGCTTTGTGATAATCTTTGTAAACTTAATACCGTGTTTGACAATGTGTATTAAACAAGACAGCCTCCTGACTTCAATGGCATATATAACTTGCAGAGATCACCATTTGGTCCTTTCTGAGATTTGTAGAGATTTGTCTGAATCCAGGGAAGCATGCAGTACTCTATCCCTCACATATGTTATGGCTCAATTAAGAACACAGAGTGACTGGCTCAGAAGAAGGGTTTTCATCCTGGGAAAGTAGACATGTGACATATATTTTGAATTTGTAATAAATCTAGTTATCAAGATTCAAGAGCCGCTTTGGATCCTTTTATCCAGAGCTCCAAAGCTTAATTACTTTCTAAATTTTGTCAGATAAAAGGGACCTAGAGGTATGTACCTAGATTAGTGATAGTTGCTCTGATTACAGATGTGAAAGGAAGAGAAAAGGGTTCCTCTGGTGAGCCAGGCCAATGCCCAAATGTTGCATAATAACCAGGCCGTTTAAAAAGTCTACAAAGTTGTTAAGCCAGAAGTGTTAATAGCTCATTTTATGATTCAGAAAATGGAAATAAAATAGTTTACCATATTTCTCCAAAGACTCACAAGTATCTCACAGATTTGGAAATAGAATCCAGATTTCCTGGCTCTTCTTAGTCTCCTACTTAGTCTGAATCCGACATTGTGTAAAGTATGTCTTTGATACTTTAGACAATTCATTTCTCTCATTTCCATTATCACTAGTCTAGTTCAGATTCTCTTTACCTCTTAGTGATTGTAACAGTAGCTGTTAGGCCTGTTTGGGGTCTCTTTTTCTTCCAATCTATATTCCTGCTTAGTTCAGATCATAATACCCTGTTCTTTGTAAGTCATTATTGCATTTCTGTGGCCTACCAGATTGAGTCCACACCTCATGCAGAACTGTATTATTAGGTCTGAAATGCATTTCCAGCCCTATAACCCACATCCTCTGTAGTACTTACTAGACCACTTATTTTCTCAGATGCACATTCCCTTTGCTTTCGTTTGCGCTGCTTCTTGCTTCCAGAGAATCTCTTTCCCATATCTTTGAACATCAGTGCACATGCATTGGCTCATGTAATATGTAACTCTATAGTAACTCTGTAGTTCATAGTAACTCTATAGTTCAGTATATTACCGTCTCCATTTTAAAGATGTAGGAACTGAGACACTCAGAGAAGTTAAGTTGCTATTAACTGGTGGGATTTGAACATTGTTTTGTGTCACCACAGTTTAGAATCTTCACAGCTCTTGTTTAGAACTCTCTTGCCACTTATATGTGTGTATACACTTTCTATCATATTTGTGTGTATTCATGTCATCGCTTAAGTTCCCTGAGAACAGAGTTATGTTTTCTTTTGTTTTTGATTACCCTCAAAGAATCATTTCTAAAACGTATGCTCTCAAATCAAAAAGCACCATTCTATGTTAAATACAAACTGATATTTTCCCACAAAACACTGATATGCAGTGTTTCTGAGTGCCCGTACTCTTTTTACCCCTTGTCTGGGTTGAGGTGAGGGAGATGTTGTGAGAATGGAAAAATGCTGTGGAGCAAAGCTTGGACAGCATGTATAAATCCTATTACTGATCACCACACACTGGCCTACTAAGTAGGCCAAACAGCAGAAATGTTCAACTCTTAGATTATGGAAAAGTTCTAAAGAGATATTTTAATATATATATTCGTTGTCATATTTTAGAGGTTCTGCTTATTCTGGTTTTTATTAAAAGAAAAACGGTGGTAGGTTTCAAGAAAATACTTAATTAATGTGTCTGTGTTTCATAGGATAGGGTAAAGGCCAGGATTTGGTCATGGGAATCTAAAATCTGTTATCATCCATTAGCGCAATAGAAAACAATTTTGTTGCTGTTGACATCTTAGTACTTGATAATGTGATCCTTCTTATTATTATTTTATTTACAGACAAAGTAGAGTCAGAATTACTAAAAGGTTATAGTAAATACTTACCACATGATGTTGTTGTTATGACTGTGAAGTTATGCATATTATTTGCTGTGCTTTTGACAGTCCCTCTAATCCACTTCTCTGTAAGTACTCTTAAATGGTTTTTTTTTTTGTTCTTGTTGCTTAGTATAGCTGCTTCCTAATAGGGCAACACTAATTCTTTGCAGAACAGAATGTTTGAGTCACATCTAGTCTTGTATATCTTATTCGCTTGTCAAGTAATTGATCAAAGACTTCATACTTGCATATGGCCCCATGAAAGCATAAAAATAACAGTGAGCCACTAAGCTAATTTGTGCTTTTTTAGATTTAGTTTAGATTTACATTCTCCCACAGCATTGTTTCCAATTTAGAAACTATAGTTCTTTTAAAGTTTTTGGTATTTCCCCCTTTAATTCTGTTTTACCCCCCTTTAATTCTGTTTTCAAAAAAATGTGCATGAAGAGGAAAAGTCAAGTCAGCAGCTCCTTCTAGTTTATTGTAAATTTATTTTCACATAGGCATTCTAGTTCAATCTTGGTCAAAATATTTTATTTGCTCTAGAATTGTAATTTAAGGGGCAGAACAGATTTCTGAGAAAATGGGAACAAAGGCTTTGGGTATAAATGCAGCTGTATGGATTTTCTCTAACGCTGAGTTTTGTAAGAACTGGGGCTTCAAGCCTCCTCCCTGTGTGGGCTGCAGTGCCAAGATTACAATAGGGACTGGATAAATTTTTGTGAGATGTGACTGCCTGCTGTCCCCTTTGCAATGGGAAGTGCAATGAACTATTTTTTCATATTTACAGGCTATGAAACATATATAAAATAAAATAGCAAGTGGTGTTTCTTTCCCATGCCATGATTTCTTTTTCTATTATAAATCATTTTTTTTGTCTGTTGAATTTAATGAAAATGATTCTTTGAGATTTTTTAATATTTTTATTGCTAGTAATTTAAAAAATTATGCAACCTAAAAAATTGCATCTGAAAATTTTTTCAAGCATTTAAGCTAAATAATTTTTATGAAGCTTACATGGAAAGGTTTAGTGTATAAACAGTTTTTGTGTATATATGCTTTATTATAATAGTTTATGCTGCATTTTTGGCATTAAATGATGTAGGAGGCAAAAATATTATGGTTATTGTATATGTTTCTCTCAGCAAATATTTTGACCTTGACACATCCTCTTTGCTAAATGTTTCTTTTTCTGTTTCATCAATGTTTCATCAATACAGGCCAGAAAAGCTGTAATGATGATGTTTTTCTCCAATTTTCCATTCTCATGGATTCGCCATTTTTTGATCACTCTGGCACTCAATATTATCATCGTTTTGCTTGCAATATATGTTCCTGACATTAGAAATGTATTTGGTGTAGTTGGTAAGTTTTCTGTTTCAAAAAGTTCACATAATAAAATTGATAAAATTGTTACCCAGCCTCATATCTGAATCCAGCAGTATCCTCTCTTTTTTCTCTCCGATTTAAAGGTACCAGTACATCAACATGTTTGATTTTTATATTCCCAGGACTATTTTATCTTAAACTTAGCAGAGAGGATTTTCTGTCATGGAAAAAGTTTGGGGTAGGTTGTTTTTGTTTCCTTCATTAAGACTTCTATTTTTAAGAAATAGTTTGTCATTTTATATTATTTTACCTACATCAAGAAAGTCAATATATTACAAAATATAAAATACATTATTGCGAAGTATAGAAGTTTAACAAATAGGCTAATTGTACTGTTTATCTTTTTTCTTGTTTCCACAGGCATTTGTTTTGCTCATCTCTGGAATTTTGGTTGGGAATTTTAGTTTAGCATTCATTATTTTTGATTGGATTAATAAATAAAAGAAATATTTTCCTACTTCTTACAAAGAATAATATATCTCTTTATGCAACAAGAAATATTCTGGAAGACACCCTGGATGAAAAATAATATTTTAATAAAAATTATTAACAGAAAAGCAGAACAAAATGGCAGTAGGTATGGGGAAGTAAGTATAGCAGGTTTAATCAAAATAGGAAACAAACTCGAAATGCTCTTAAATGTATTGGGTCATTCTTTTGTTTTTCAAATCAATATTTTTAATGGTAGTTTTATGTTTGCAGAAATACTGAACAGAAAGTACAGAGTTCACATATACCTTTTTACCCCCAACATGCAGTTTCCCGTATTATTAACTCTTGCGTTTGTGTGGTACTTTTGTTATATTTCATGAGCCAACATTAACTATTATTAACTAAAGTTCATAGTTTACCTTTGGGTTCATTCTTAGCAACCACTAGAAACCGCTGATTTTTTTTTTTAACTTTTATTTTAGGTTTGGGAGTACATGTAAAATTTATTACATAGGTAAACTTGTGTCATGGGAATTTGTTATACAGATTATTTCATCACTCAAGTGTTAAGCCCAGTACCCAATAGTTATCTTTTCTGCTCCTCTCCCTCCTCCCACCTTCTATCCACCACCCCAAGTTGTTTTTCCCTTTGTGTTCATAGGTTCTTACTTAGTTCTCACATGTAAGTGAAGACATGCAATATTTGGTTTTCTTTTCCTGTGTTGGTTTGCTAAGGATAATAGCCTCCACCTGTGTCCATGTTCCTGCAAAAGACATGATCTCATTCTTTTTTATGGTTCCATAGTATTCCATGGTGTGTATGCACCACATTTTCTTTATCCAGTCTGTCATTGATGGGTGCATGGGTTGATTCCACATATTTGCTATTGTGCATAGTGCTACAGTGAACATTTGTGTGCATGTATCTTTATGGTAGAATAATTTATGTTCTTTGGGGTATATACCCAGCAGTGGGATTGCTGGGATGAATGGTAGTTTTGTTTTTAGCTCTTTGAGGAATCACCATACTGCTTTCCACAATTGTTGAACTAATTTACATTCCCACCAACGGTGTATAAATGTTCCCTTTTGTTCACAACCTCACCAGCATCTAGTATTTTTTGACATTTAAATAATGGCTATTCTGACTGGTGTGAGATGATATCTCCTTGTGGTTTTGATTTGCATTTCTCTAATGATAGTAATATTGAGCTTTTTTTAATGTGCTTGTTGGTTGGCATGTATGTCTTTTTTTGAGAAGTGTCTGTTCATGTCCTTTGCCCACTTTTTAATGGAATTGTTTGGGGTTTTTTTCTTGTAAATTTGTTTAAGTTCCTCATAGATGCTAGATATTCGACCTTTGTTGGATGTATAGTTTGCAAATATTTTCTCCTATTCCGTAGGCTGTTTACTCTGATGATAGTTTTTTGTTGCTGTTGCTGTTTTTTTGTTTTTGTTTTTTGCTGTGCAGAAGCTCTTAAATTTAATTAGATCTCATCTGTCAGTTAATTTTTGCTTTTGTTGTGATTGCTTGGTGTCTTTGTCATGAAATGTTTGCCCATTCCTATATCTGGGGTGGTATTGCCTAGCTTGTCTTCCAGGGTTTTTATAGTTTTGGGTTTTACATTTAAGTCTTTAATCCATCTCGAATTGATTTTTATATATGGTATAAGGGAGGGGTCCAGCTTCAATCTCCAGCATATGGCTAGCTAGTTATTTTAGCACCATTTAGTGAATAGTGAATCTTTTCCCATTGCTTGTTTTTATCAGCTGTGTTGGAGATCAGATGGTTATAGGTGTGTGGCCTTATTTCTGGGCTCTTTATTCTGTTCCATTGGTCTATGTGCCTGTTTTTATACCAGAGTCAATGCTGTTTTAGTTCTTGTAGTATAGTTTGAAGTGGGTTAATATGATGCCTCCAGCTTTGTTCTTTTTGCTTCAGATTGCCTTGGCTATTCAGGCCCTTTTTTGGTTCCATATGAATTTTAAAATGGTTTTATCTAGTTCTGTGAAGAATGTCATTGGTAGTTTGACAGGAATAGCATTGAATCTGTAAATTGCTTTGGGAAATATGGCCATTTTAATGATAGTGATTCTTCCTATCCATGAGCATGGAATGTTTTTCCATTTGTTTGTGTCTTCTCTGATTTCTTTAAGCAGGGTTTTATAATTCTCATTGTAGAAATCTTTCACCTCCCTGGTTAGCTGTATTTCCCAGGTATTTTATTTTTGTTGTCGCAGTTGTGAATGGGATTGCCTGATTTGGCTCTCAGTTTGGCTATTGGTGGTGTATAGGAATGCTAGTAATTTTTGTACATTGATTTTATGTCCTGAAACTTTGCTGAAGTTATCAGCTAAAAGAGTGTTTGGGCAGAGACTGTGGGGTTTTCTAGATGTAGAATCATGTCATTTCCAAACAGATAGTTTGACTTCCTCTCTTCCTGTTTGGATGTCTTTTGTTTATTTCTCTTGCCTGACTGCTCTGGCTAGGACCTCCAGTATATGTTGAATAGGAGTGGTGAGAGAGAATATCCTCATCATTTTCCAGTTTTCAAGGGAAATGCTTCTAGCTTTTGTCTATTCAGTATAATGTTGGCCGTGGGTTTGTCATGGATGCCTCTTATGATTTTGAGGTATGTTCCTGCAATACCTAGTTTGTTGAGAGTTTTTAACATGAAGGAGTTTTGAATTTTATTGAAAGCCTTTTCTGCATCTATTAAGATAATCATGTAGTTTTTGTCTTTATTTCTGTTTATGTGATGAATCACATTTATTGATTTGCATATGTTAAATGAACCTCGTATCCCATATAAAGTGTACTTGATCATGGTAGATTAATTTTTAATGTGTTGTTGGATTCAGTTTGCAAGTATTTTGTTGAGGATTTTTGCATCGAGGTTAATCAAGAATATTGATCTGAAGTTTTCTTTTTTCGTGTGTCTCTGCCAGGTTTTGGTAATAAGGTGATGCTGGCCTCATAGAATGAGTTGGGGAGGAGTCCCTCCTCCTCAGTGTTTTTGGAGTAGTTTCTATAGGACGAGTACCCACTCTTCTTTTTACATCTCCACTGATCATTTTACTGTCTCCTTAGTTTTGTCTTTTCTAAAATGTCATATGCTTGCAATCATATAGTATGCATCATTTTCAGACTGGCCTCTTTCATTTAGCAATATGCAATTAAGTTTCTTCTATGTCTTTTTGTGGCTTGATAGCTCCTTAGTATTCCATTGTATGGAGGTACCACTGTTTGTTTATCCATTCACCTGTTGAAAGACCTCTTCCAAGTGTTTACAGGTACAAATAAAGCTGCTCTAAGCATTCGTGTGCAGGTTTTTCTTTTTCGTTTTTCCTTTTTTTTTTTTTTTTGAGACGGAGTCTCACTTTGTCACCCAAGCTGGAGTGCAGTGGCGTGAACTTGGCTCACTACAACCTCCACCTCCCATGTTCAAATGATTCTTGTGCTACAGTCTCCCAAGTAGCTGGGATTACAGGTGCACACCACCACGCCCAGCTAATTTTTGTATTTTTAGTAGAGACAGTTTCACCATGTTGGCAAGGCTGGTTGCAAACTCCTGACCTCAAGTGATTGCCCACCTCAGCCTCCCAAAGTCCTGAGATTACAGGCATAAGCCACCATGCCTGGCCAATTTCTGTTCTTTATGTGTTTTGCAAAGATTTTTTCTCCCCATTTTGTGGCTTGCTGTTTTATTCTTTTAACAGTGTCTTTCAAAGAGCAGAAGTGTTTAACGTTCTTAAATATATTGGTTCAATCTTTTGTTTATTTTAAGAAATCAGTGTATTAAATTTATGTACAAAATTGATTCTTAGCTGTGGGTTAATGTTGTCAGCATCAGTCACTAATAAGAGATTGTTCTACTTGGTGTTTTGCCCTGCCTCTAAATCCTATCTAAAAACTTTTATACTTTTCCACTACTGTTCATTATGAAATTGACCTGTGATGACTGGCTGTGTACTTGAAAGTCCTTTCTCTGAGTTTTCTTAGTTGGTCACTAAAACATGCAACATTCTGCATGGCAAACAGGGACAAAATATTGATCATTTCTATGATATTTTGTTTGGAGTTCATAAATCATTGCAACTTCTCATTGACATGGCTTATTTCTGGTTAGGAACCAGAAGTTAGGACTCTCCCCCCATGAGTATTCTACATAAAGGGCACATTGTTAGCAGCCTACCAAAGCTGTATCAGTAAAAATGTAATCCTACCCTGGTACACATGTAAAGTAGAGAATTGCATGCAAAGTGCAATTTTCATATATGGAAATAAACACTTTTGCAGGTGCCCCTTTGTTTCTGACTTAGGAAATACACTGAAAAATTGACAAATGAGCTTCTCTTTTAAGAAGATCAGACATACTTATTTGGCAACTTGAAACGGCATAGTGTAGTGGTAAAAGACCAAAGCTCTTGGGTTAGAAAGACTTGGATTCAAGTCTCAGTGAAAGGCACACTACGTAACCTCTATAAGCCTCCATTTTCACATCTATAAAATGGAGTTAATGCTTATTATACAGTCATATTGATAGAATTAAATGTTCTATATAAATTAGGTGCAGACCAAACCAGACTCTTTTGATAGATTAAATGTTTATCTCCTTTGTCCATTCCCTTATCTGGACCAATGAAATAAATTTGCTTTCCACTAAGGACATGGAAACATATCCTGAATTTCTTCATCTTGCATGACAATTATCTTCAGAATCTTTCTCTAGCCTTCACTCACAGGGGAACTGGCTCCAAGTGCACATTTTTAGTACTTTCGCACAGTTTACCTCAGCTGTACTCTCCTACTAATAACGCCTTCCTGAAGCTAGGCACTTAGCATGGTCCCAGGGTCCAGCCAGACATGTCCTCCCATGTGGCTTCAGGTCAGCCAGAGCCAATCAATCTGATAGCCTACTACTTGTACCCTTTTTTTCTGTTTATGAAATTATGGATCCAAATACAGATAGGTGTACAGCTGCTTAAATAAGTGTAACTCCAGTAATACCAAAATAACCCTCAATCTACAACAGATGAAAGGATGCCCCTTGGGGCAAATGTTAACTGTGATGACAGCTGGGCATCAATTAATACATTTGTTACCTGCTCATGAGATAGGATCATGGGAGGTTTTGCAAAGGGACAATCTGTTGAATAGTCTGCACAAAACTTAGTAGCAAGAAAAATTATTTGTTCAAGTATTCATTTTTATTTTACTTTAATGTTCTGCCTTATCTAGTTGCCTGTTTTGAGTCACAACTTTCTCTCTGCATTTAGATGAAGTTAATAAGATGGCTGGTGAGACAGTGCCCCCATCAACCAGGATTACCAAAAAAAACCTTGTTCAAGTGCCCCTTAGAATTTTTCCTGGGAAATATGGGCCTTCTCATTATGGGCTTAATGTTCATAATTTATTAGGTAATAACTATTTAAAATAAAACTAAGTAAAGCAGAAAATATATACTTTTCTAACATTTGGAGACTTGTTTGCTAAATTAAAAGACGAAGTGCCAAGACTGTAAATTACTTTCGTATGTTGAGGGTGAATGTTTAAATTGTACTTTTTTTTTTTTAAACAGAATGTTTACTCATGAGCTTAGCATTTAAATGGTTAAAACAAGCCTTTGAAGTTAACACTCCATTAAGATGAATGGTGGTAATTCACACCTCTGCTGGTGCTATATTATTTCAGTCTGGCTGCAGAGAAAACAAGACAGCAGTTGGTTGATTTACTGTGTGAAGGCCCTTTAAACACCCAAGGTCTGGAAATTTTTGTGTGTGTGTGTGTGTGTGTGTGTGTGTGTGTGTGTGTGTTCCATCTAGAAGCAGGATCTGAAATTCAACACAATCTAGGTGTAGAATTGAGGTCTTGAAAGTACCATAGATTCTCTCTTATCCAGCAATTCCATATCTGTCATTTGACGGGTAGCAAGTTACTAGATCAACCCAACCTCTCTGGCTTTGTTTGCTTCTATACTGTAGTGTTTCTTCCTACCACAGCATTTTTGAAACTTTAGCTTAGTATGCTGGTAAATCCATCAGTGGAAAAGCAGAAATGAATCATCCATTTTCTGGTGAACTTTATATATGCCTTTAAATGGGCTATGAGCTAATCATTGGTCTTCCTGTGCTCCTTTTTAAAACATGTTCATCTTTGCAAAATCTCCTGTTCTATATTTGCCTACATATAAAGCATCTACTTGAAGAGCTTTACAATTTTTTTTCTCATATCCCTGGGGTAGTGAAGTAAGCAGAGATCAGTTGAAAAAGCATTTCTTTCTCAATGTGTCCTTTATACCAGTACTATATTGTGTTTGAAATGTGTATTCCACCCATTGGTAGAAGTGCTATAGCCATTTGACCCTGAAAGGATTCATTTTAGGGCCTGGGAATAAAGTTATCTTAACACAAATGAAATAGCGAATACTGTATAAGATGTTAATGAGTTTGGAAGATCTCTCTTTAAGGTAAACAGATTTTTCTCTTCTCCCTTCTATGTCCTGCATATTTGCAGGCTCAAGTTACTGGATAATCTATGGGTAGCTGGGTGTGGAGAGTATTTCCACTCTGGCTGTCTGTAGTGCTGACACTGCATGTACAGTATATACAGAGAGAAGATAGATGCTAGAAACAGAGAGACTCAAACTGAATTAATTTTAACCTGTTTTTGTTTTTGGTGTGTGTTAGAATTTCTCTGCAGCTGTGATGGAATTAGCCCTATGTTAAACATACTTTGCTTCCTGCAGATTTTTCTGCGTGGATTTTAGGTGTCATAATTTTTGACCTTAGAACACTTTAGAACCTTTTTATTATATTGAGAAATTTGTGGGGTTTTAAAAATTCAAACACATAATTTATTTATTCTTCTACTGGTAATCCCTCTGTATGTTTTCCATAAAGAGGTAGGAAAAGTAGAGAAAGTAAAATTTTGGTGGCAGATGAATAAAGATATTGTGGGCATGGTTTCTTTATTGCAATCAGAATTCTTTCTGTTTCTCACCCTTCCTAAACAATCTGATAAATATGTTTACTGTCACGATAATCTCTTGTCCTGCTTTGCCAAGCTCTCAGTCAAGACAACCAATTACAAGGAACAGGAATACTCATCTTGGCTGATGGCCAGGTGGACAGTTAGGAATAAGACATTTATTCACCTAATGGGTAGAAAGGAAAATTGAGTTGCCAGGGAGAAAAAAAATACACAAAAACAGATGGATGAAAAGACATTGTAATATGGGGTGCTATAAAGAAAAAGACTTGCAGAGAAATGTTTCTCACTCGTTTGAATGTACAGTCATCCCTTGGGGGATTGGTTCCAGGATCTCCCTCATATACGAAAATCCATGCACATTCAAGTCCTGCTGCAGAGCCACATATACAAAAAATCAACCTGTGTATACATGCGCAGGTGTTGCATCCTGAAGATACATTTTTGATCTGTATCTGATCTATGTTGATTTTAAAAAATCAACTGTTAGTGAACCCGTGCAGTTGGAACCCATGCTGTTCAAAAGTTAATATGGTATATATTTTATCTAATTGGCATCAGTGGACAGATGCACAACATAAGCAAAAGGGCTGACCAAATCATTCAGCAGATTCTTTGCATATACTATGTCCTGGAGGTTGAGCTAGTCCTAAGGTTGTGAAGCTATGTAAGACATGCATAATACATCTTGCTTGAAAAAAGTTCACATACAACTTTGAACATTTTCAGAACAATTTGATAAGTAAAACTGCTTAAATGAAAAATTATACCTATATTTTTCATATATATTTTTAAAGAAGATTTTTGAGTCAAAATTACCTGTGTTCAAATCCCAGCTCTATCCCTTTCTAATTTTAGAAAAGTTACTACTCTCTGAACTTGCTGAAGGCTCAATATTTGACTGAGTTTTCCCTCAACCAGAAGAAATTTTCCTTCAAGTGAGATTACATGATATTTTGGGAAAACTCAAGTAAGCCATTAAGCGTTGAATATATGTACACTTGTATTACTTTACTGTCCCTCAAATCCCATAGCTTCCAACCATATGTCTCTTCTCCCATCTCTGCTTCATTTAGTCAGCAGCCTGACAAGAAAATGGTATTCTAGAAATATCCTGACCAATGCATTTATTTTCACTACTGATGTATTTTTCCCCAGAAAAGTAGTAAAATTATCCACATATTATAGTTTTGTAGTAAATATCCACATATTTTGACTTTACATTAGCATTTTTAACAATAACATTACACTTTTGGCTTATAAAGTATGTGGTCAGAAAAGCTGCAGGCTTTTTTTAGGTGAATTATCCAGGTTCCTAGAACCCTGTACTTGTTCTATTGGTTTACATTTTTAAATGTAAGGGAATATATATGCACACACATGTATGAATAGGCACACAAATACATATATATATATGTGTGTATCTGTTAACTATATGTGAACTTTCATCATGTTAGCTTCAGCTCACCACTCAAGCAGATGAGACCTTTTTTGAATCTTGATTATCATGCCTCAGATAATCAATTTATCTGTGAATGGGGTGGAAAAAAAATAGAATTATCTTGATTCCCTGCTTTTGTGACATCTTTTATCATACTTCCATTTTTTTTTCATCCCATTCACAGATAAAAATGTTAAATGAGATATGACTAGAGGGCCCTGAAGCCCAGCACTATCAGTATTTCTCCTGAGTTATTATTAATCTATACTTTCGGTGAAGTTGTTAACATTCCTGTAGTGTCATCTAACCTGCATTTCCTCACTTCCCTTAGAAGTGACCCCCAAATCATCGGGTACAGTCTAAATTTTTATCTGTTTTCTGTATTTCTAGTTGCTTCAGAACATTTCTGCTTGGGGGTTCCACAGTCACTTCAAACTTAACATGTCCAAATCCGTTACTCACTACAGTTTTCTGATTTCTGTCAGCAACCCCACTGTTTTCATCCAACATCCCAGCTGGCTTGCTTGCTTCCATTCCTGCTACCTGCAGTCCACTTTCACACTACAAAGTAGTTGTTTAAAAATTGAAATCAGATTATGTTGCTACCCTGCTTAATATCCTCCAAGAGCTTTCCATCTCACTTAGAATGAAATCCATGCCATGGCCTACAAGGCTCAATTTTGTCTGTACTGTTTCTCTGATATCAATCTATCTTTCTCTCATTCTCCAGCAACCCTGGCCTTTCTGCCCTTTGAACACATCCAAGCTTGGTCCCTCACACGCACTGTTTTCCCTAGTTAGAACATAGTTTTCAGAGACCTTTGCAAGCCTGGCTCCTTATTTAAGCCTAAGGTCAACTGTCACCCCCTCAGAGAGGTCTGTCCTGTCTGTCTTATGGTCACGACCATCTTATGGCCCCCAACACATGGTGCTTTATAACTTTATCCTGTTATACAGGTCACTGCTGGAAATGTTGTTTATGTGTTGTCTATGTCCACTAGACTGGAAGTTTCGTAAGAACTGGGGCTTAACTGTCTTATTTATAAACAAATCCTTAGAGCTTAGGACAGTGCCTGATACTTTGGAGTGGCTTAATACTTGTTGAATGAATGCATAAAGGAATCTAACAGACTGTGTCCTTTTACTCTTTACCTCCAGTCTGTCACAATGTCATTTCTTCCTTTGAAATACCTCCTGTATTTGTTTTTATCCTGTCCCCACCCTCCTGCCAGATTTCTGCCTAAATCTCAGGCTTCATCTCTTGTGCCTAAACTATTGCAGTGATTCTCAATTCAGGCTGCTCCTCGACATCACTTGGGGAACTTTGCAAAAATTACCACATCCAGGTTCCACCCAAACCAATTAAATCCAAATCTCTGAGGGATACAACCAAGGTATTGATATACTTCTTAGAGCTTCTCAGATGACTCTAATGGGCAACTACTGGGTTGCTGTATCTGCCTCCTAGCAGATGTCTTCTAGTCCATTTTGCCTGTTACTGTTCTCTGGTCTTCTTGGAATCCTGCTTTCATAATATTACTCCCGTGCTGGTGAACCTATAATGGCTCACTACTACTCCCATCAGTCTCACTACTACCCCCATTAATCCCAAATTCCCTTGGCTCATCCACTAAGCTATATTTCAGCCTTTTCTTACATATGTTCTACAATACTCTAAAACTGCTTTTCCTGTCTGGCATTTGATTTGCCTTTTATTACCCTCTTCTATATTGTTACTTCTCTGCCTACTCCCACTTCCAGGTACACACCCAGAATGTGACTTATTTTCCACCTCTCCAAATGCTTCCCATTCTTCAATATCTAGCTCAAATCCCAGCTCTGTAAACACTGGATTCTCCACTCCAGCCTACCCCTTATTATCTATATGATTTCTTTTAGTATACATTTTTAGTACCTTGTAAGATTTTTTCTATTTTTTTCATAAATTACTTTTGTAATTTGGTATTCAGTTTTTGAGTGGGTGATATGCACATGGTACAGATTTTAAATTTACAAAAATGCCTTCCCATCCAATTCTGTCCCTGGCATCCTGTTTTCCTCCTCGGAAGCAACCGCTTTTACAGCCTTCTGTATTCTTCCAAGTATATGCTATGCCCCTTTTAGAGAGAGAGAAAGAATACACAGGCACAGAGAGAATACACAGATATACACACATACATGTTGGCATAAAATATGAAATCCTCTGCCCCTTTGACTTCACTTAACATTATGGCTTTTTTTTAGTTGTGCTAAAACAAAAAACACCTAAAATGAAATCTGCCCTCTTAGCAAACTTCTTGTAAGTGTATGTATAGTATTGTTAATTATATGCACATTACATAGCAGATATCTATAACTTTTTCATCTGGCATGACTGAAATTCTGTGCCCAATTGAACAACACCCTATTTCCCTATCCCTGCAGCCCCTAGCAACTGCTGTTTTACTTTTTGCTTCTCTGAGTTTGGCTATTTTTGCCACCTTGTACCAAGGAATCATGTAGTATTTGTCCTTTTGTGACTGGCTTGTTTCATTTAGCATGTTGTCCTCAAGTGTTATGTATATTGTAGCACATGGAATAATTTTCTTTATTCTTTAAGGCTGAATAATATTCTGTTGTATGTGTATACCACAATTTATTTATCCATTAATCTACCAGTAAACATTTAGGTTGTTTTCACCTCTCGGCTATTGTGGATAATGCGATGATAAACGTGAGAGTGCAAATACCTCTTCCAAGATTCTGTTTTCAATTATCTTGTATAAATGTCCAGAAGTGGGATTGCTGTATCATATGGTAGTTCTATTTAAAATGTTTTGAAGGCTCTCCATACTGGTTTCCCTAATGGCTGCGCTATTTTATGTTTCTATCAACAGTGCACAAGCGTTCCAATTTCTATCAACAGAGCACAAGGGTATCCTCGCCAGCATTTTGTTGTTGTTGTTGTTATTTTGATAATGATCATTCTAACAGGTGTGAGACAATATCTCATTGTGGTTTTGTGTTTGCATTTCTGTGATAATTAGTGATGTTGAGCTTATTTTGATATAATGGTTGGTCATTTATATGTCTTTGGAGAAATTTCTTTCAGGTCCTTTGCCCTTTTAAACTTGAATTTTTTTTTTTTTTTTTTTTTTTTTTTTTTGGTTACTGAGTTGTAGTAGTTCTTTCTATATTTTGTATATTAACCCCTTATCAGATATGTGGTTTGCAAATATTTTCCCTCTTCTTAAAATTTTTACTCTGTTGATTCTTTCTTTTGCTTATGTTGGATTTTGTCCCACGTGTCTATTTTTGAATTAGCATTATGTTTTGGAGATTATTTTGTATCAGTATACACAAAACTCCCTAAATATTTCAGTAGCTGCATAGTATTCTGTTAATGCATAGACCACAATTTAATTAACTAGTTTCCTATCAATGCATATTGATGGATTTTTAAATTTAAAATGTTGCTATTTTATGTAATGCTTCAAATGTTATCTTTATATACATATGTCATTTAGCACATATATTAATTATCTATAGGGGATATTTTTATCCATTTAACTGGAATTCTGGCATAAAGGGCATGTGCATTTCTAATTTTGGTAGGTATCACTACATTAACTTTCATTAAAGATTTTACTTACTGGGCACAGTAGCTCACGCCTGTAAGCACAGTATTTTGGGAGGCTGAGGTGAGTGGATCACTTGAGCCCAGAGGTTCAAGATTAGCCTGGGCAACATGGCAAATCCTTGTCTCTACAAAAAAAACAAAAATTAGCCAGGTGTGGTGGCATGTGACCGGAGTCCCACCTACTTGGGAGGCTGAGGTGGGAGGATCACCTGATTCCAGGGAGGTTGAGGCTGCAGTGAGTTGTGATTGCTCCACTGCACTCCAGCCTGGGTGACAGAGTGAAACCCTGTCTCAAAAAAAAAAAAAGATTTACTGATTTACATTCACAACAACAATGTAGGAATTGCTCTTTCAATTCTGTTATTTGGCTTTTCACATTTAAATACTTTACCTCTCTGACTCAGTTGTAATTAACCCAAAGACAGGAACTATGACATGTACATATTAGCATCTCTTACAGCAATTAGTTCTCAGTAAATATTTGTTAAATCTTACTTCATTGTCTATTTAGGGAGTTTTCTCATGAATGGTGTTTCTGATGAGACCCATGTGAGAATTGTCCCCTTTGCGTGTGTGCTGTTCCCAGAAAACAGTGTGACTGTGTGTGATATTCTTAGGCGAGATGCTTAGTCTATTTTGTGTTACTGGCACCTGGGAAATTCAGTATCAAGAAAGCAGTAGGTTTGGTGTCTGGTGAAGGCCCTGTCTCTACTCCTACTACGGCCTTTGAATGTTTCATCCTCTGGAGGGGAGGAATACTGTTCCTCAAATGACAGATAAGCAAAGAGAGAAAGCTCACTTCCAAAAGCACTTTTATTTTAATTATTTTTATTTTTAATTTTTGTGGTTACATAGTAGGTTATATATTCATGGGGTACATGCGATGTTTTGATACAGACATGCAGTGTGAAACAATTACACCATGGAGAATGGGGTATTCATCCCTTCAAGCATTTATCCTTTGTGTTACAAACAATCCAGTTATACTCTTTAGTTATTTTAAGATATACAATTAAGTAATTGTTGGCTGTAGTCATCCTGTTATGCTATCAAATAGTAGGTCTTATTTTTTCTCTGTTTTGTACCCATTTACCATTCTCACCCCTCTCCTAGCCCCCCACTACCCTTGCCAGCCTCTAGTAACCATCCTTCTGCTCTGTGTGTTCATGAGTTCAACTGTTTTGATTTTTAGATCCCACAAATAAGTGAGGACACTTGATGTTTGTCTTTCTATGTCTGGTTTATTGCACTTAACATAATGATCTCCAGTTCCATCCTTGCTGTTGCAAATGAAAAGATCTCATTCATATTATGGCTGAATAGCACTCTATTGTGTATATGTTCCACATTTTCTTTATTCATTCATTTATTGATGGACACTTAGGTTACTTCCAAATCTTGGTTATTGTGAACAATGCTGCAACGAACATGGGAGTGCAGTTAGCTCTTCACTCAATATATCAATTCCCTTTCTTTTGGGTATATATCCAGCAGTGGGATTGCTGGACCATATGGTACCTCCATTTTTATTTTTGGAGTAGCCTCTAAACTGTTCTCCATAGTGGTTGTACTAACTTACATTCCCACCAACAGTGCACAAAGGTCCCCTTTTCTCCACATCCTCTCCAGCATTTGTTATTGTCTGTGTTTTTAATAAAAACCATTTTAACTGGGGTGAGATGATACTTGTTGCAGTTTGATTTGCATTTCTCTGGTGATCAGTGATGTTGAGCACCTTTTCATATGCCTGTTAGCCATTTGTTTGTCCTCTTTTGAGAAATGTCTATTCAAATATTCTGCCCATTTTTTGACTGAATTATTATATTTTTTCCAATGGAATGGTTTGAGTTCCTTATATATTCTGGTTCTTAATCCCTTTTCAGATGGGTAGTCTGCAGATATTTTCTTCTGAAAGCACTTTTATTAAGGTATTAAACCTACTAATGAAGGTGGAGCCTGTGTGGCCTAATCACCTCTTCAAGGCTTCATCTCCCAATACATCACATTGGCAATTAAATCTCAGCGTGAGTCTTGTGGGGAACAAACATTTAACCCATAGCAGACACCATTCATTGCTATTGTTCTTCCAGGATCCTGTATTATCATTAACCCAGCAAGGCCGACTAATCATTGGATCTATTATCAAGTTTAGTTTGTTTGAATAATTCAGTATAAATTAGCTAAATGAAAAGGCTCTACTCTATAAGTTTTTGCCATCTTTTTATTATGAAAAATTGTAAACATGAATACAAGTTGAAATAATATGTCCACCACTAAATTTAACATTTATTCATATTTATTTCCTAACTCACATATAAATTATATGTAAATATACAGCTGACTCTAGAACAACATGGGTTTTCTAATTGTGTGGGTCCACTTATATGGGGATTTTTTTCTGCTTCTGCCACCCCTGAGATAGCAAGACCAACCCTTCCCCTTTCTTCTACTCAGCCTCCTCAACATGAGGACAGTGGAATGAAGACCTTTATGATGATCTACTTTCACTTAATAGTAAATATGTTTTCTCCTCCTTATGATTTTCTTAATGATGTTTTTCTTTCTCTAGCTTACTTTATTGTAAAAAAAAAAAAGTATATAAGCATACAACATGTGTGTTAATCAACTTATTAGTAAGACTTCCAGTTAACAGCAGGCTATTAGCAGTTAAGTTTTGGCTGGGAGTCAAAAGTTGTACACATATTTTCAACTGTGTGGTGGGTGGGCACCTCTGACCCCCAGGTTGTTCAAGGGTCAACTGCATATACAAATAAGTATATTTGCTGAATGATTTGCAAAGTAAGTTGCTGACATTCCATGAAGCAATAAGTGAAGTTGAAAATTATTTTTTGTAAATGTTACTGTCTACCTTAGCTCAGGCTACTATAATAAAATGCCATAGATTGGATGGCTTAAACAACAGAAATTTATTTCTCATAGCTCTGGAGGCTGGGAAATCCAAGAGCATGGTGCTGGCTAGAATTATTTTGGTCCTGTTGAGGGCCTCTTCCTGGCTTGTAGATGGCTGCCTTCTTGTGTCCTCACATGGTAGAGAAAGAGTGATCTCTATTCCTCTTCCTATAAAGCCACTAATCCCATAATGAGGGCCCCACCCTTATCACTTAATCTAAGCCTGATTATCTCCCGAAGACTCCATCTTCAAATACTTATGGGTTAGGGCTTCAATATGAATTGAGGGATTGGAGGAGACACAATTCTGTCCACAGAATTTTCTGTGAACAAGCCTATTATTTTCTTTCTTTCTGTCTTCTTTTCTTTTTTTCCTTCCTTCCTTCTTTCACAAACTTTGTTCCTTTCTTCAAACGGATAAGAAGCTGTTTGATGCAGCTGGCACCAGAACGTCTCTTAGTAAGGAAAATATCCTTAATGTCTTTTTTTTTTTAGGAAAATATATTGATAAGTCATTTAGGTATGAAAGGTGAGATCTTATATGGTGGCACAGCAATGTGAGTGTATTAAATGCCTGTGAATTGTATACTTCAAAGAGGTTCATTGTATGTTATGTGAATTTCACCTCAATCAAAAATTGTGACCCTGTGAAAATGGTTGGCAGGAGAAGAGGAAGTGAGAGAGAAAGCTAAACTACTCTGCATAAAAGAGATAATGTGAATTTGGGAACTGGAGAAAAGCAAAGGGAAAGAGGCAGAGAGTGCTAAGCCAGTGGTAGGAGTCTGGAGGAAAAGTGGCTGACGGGCATTTTTAGAACAGAAATGTTTAATATTCAGTTTTAATTTGCCTGTCTCTGTCTCCTGAAACCAATAAAATCACTAGACACAAAAATACCTTGTGTGAACAGAATTGTGTATGTAAACCCTTTTTTTAGATCCACATGGGACAGAACAAATAAAGCCTTGTGCTATCCAGGTGATCCAGAAACCTCAAAAAGTGAAATTCAAAAGCAGAGATGGCCACCAAAAAAAAAAATATATAAGCCATTTGCTTCCTCCTAGAGTCCATGGGTACATCAGGAGGGTTGTGGGACAATTCTCATATTGAGGGATATGATTGAACCAACTTATCCTGACTCTCAAAGTATATTGAACTTTCCTTGATATCTCATTGGCAATATATTGTCATTTCATTGAGTTAAGGGCTCATTATTGACTAGTCATCAATTGTACTTGTAGGGAAATGCCTCTTTTTAAAGACAAGAGACCAGACCTCCACAGAGGTAGATCTTGGAGGTTAGAGCAGCTCTCAGATGTCTAACATTTCCCCTTAGGGTCATCTTGCCAGATTCTCTATAACAAAAGTCTAGTAGTTCCAAAACCAGGCTCCAAGAATGTGCCTTTTTTCTACCACCTGGGGTGTGTGTGTGTGTGTGTGTGTGTGTGTGTGTGTGTGTGATCTGAGCCACTCAACTTCTACTTGGATGGTGGCAGTAGGAATCAAAGGGAGTGGGGCCCCTAGGGAAGGGCACTCCCATGGAAAAAGAGTGGAGACTATCTTTGTAATTCCCTGATTTTCTCACCCAGTTCTCCAATCTGCTAAATCTGAAAAAGTTTGTATTTTAAATGAATGGAAAAGCATTAATCTTATAAAATAATATGACACTAATGAATGGGCACTTCTGTGTTCATTAGTGTCATATTATTTTATAAGATTAATGAACCAGGTTCTGTGCCAAGCACATTCTCATATAATCTGAGGTAAGCACAGTTATATTCCCCATTTAATAGATTAGAAATTAAAGTTTAGAGACTGTAAGGTTAAACAACTTGTTCAAGGTTATACATCCTTAAGATGCCATCCTAAGAATAGAAACTTAAGTTTGACTATAAAGGCTATGTGCTTAATTACAGTTTTAGTCAAATGTATCCAACTATTGGAGTTTTTTTCTATGAAAAGGTTCTGTTCGTGATAGGTACATAGTCAATAGTACTGTGTTGAAGCCTGGTTTATTCATTTAAAATGTGGCATCTAAATCTGTTCTGTTACAACAGCCAGACCGTATTTTGGCTGGCCTTGTGTCCTCTTGAGTCATGGTTCATTGCCAAAACAGTGTTGTTTCTTTTTTGTGAAGTATTTCAGAGGCAATTCTGGACAAAGGAAAGGTATATGGGCTTTTAAGTAGAGCAGGAATGTGTTCCAATAATTGTCAGCTAGACTTTGAGAAAACTTGGAAGTCTTACAAAACAGTGTCAGAAATCCATTTCTGTATTCTGTGACTTTCTGCAAACACAATTTTAAAAATCCAGATATAGCTTAGACCATCAGTAGTCTAATTCAGTGTTTCTCAGATTTGGGATTTCTTTTCGAACTTTAGAACATCAGAATGAATCTTGGGACATTCATAAGATTGCCAGCTTTTTATTTTACAAATTGAGGACATTAAACTTGTTACCATCAATACAGAAAATTAAGGATGGTTATAATAAAATAGTCTTTTAAGTTCAGCAGGTTTATATTGTGAAAAACTTGCTACATAGTCATTTTTCTCATTGAAGACCAATGAAAACTTTCTTATAGACCAACACTTGGAAGCTACCAGTCTAAATAACCAGTCTGTATACAAAAATTCAGTAAAGACTTCTTCACTTCTAATGCTCATTGACTTCAGTTATTGTATATATGGAAAGAAGTAGATATAAAAACAGATCTTGACTATAAAATACATTCATGACTTAGTTGGCTCTTTCCTCAATCATTACTGATCTTAACCTTTGGGAGGGAAAAATATCTAAATAAGTTCTGGTTTACCAATTTGCAAAATTTTTGTCAACATTTCAGGATTTAGAAAAAAACTGACAGGGCATTTTTACTATATAACTATCTAAGTTTATATGATACATCAAAAGTCAGTAAGGATTATACCATAAAATTTACATTGCACAGGGAAGCAAAATACTTGGAGGCTCTCCATGTCTTTGTCTAAAGACTTGTCATTCATTTGCATTCAAATAAATTCTTTGCTTTCATTCATCCAGAATGGTTCTGAATTTATTAGCTCACCAGACTACATAAATAGAGTTGCATTCATGCATTTTAATTTCAATGTAAATGGCTTTCCTCAATTTTTTTCTTCTTACTCAACTCTCCCAAAACATGTTTAATCACTTCCATACTCCGTCACCTAAACATTTCATAATGTTGTTACTTCTATAGTAAAACAAAAAGTAATTTGCTTTTAATAAATCAGAGAGCCATCCTCTTGCAATCTAGAGCTTTATTCTGGTGAGAGAAAATTCTCAAATTCTATTTCCATTTCCATTCCAAATTCTATTTCCATTTATGAGTAGATGATTTTCCCTGTCACAAAGCATTGTTAGGTGTGTACAGTATTTCTGTAGTTGGTAAACTACTGCAACTTATAGTCCAATGGGGATGACCTCTGTACAACAACTGGAATGGGAATACCCTGAAGGGCAGGCTGTGGCTGTTGCATGTGCCACATGTGCACTAGGCCATCCATGCGTGCTTGTTGAAAGAATGACATGTCGTGGTGAGTAATACAGACATTAAGCGCTCTGCTGGATAAGCTCGTAGAGATGGGGTTCACTGTCTTCTGGGTGAGTGGGGAAGACTTTGTGAAGAAAGCAACAGCTGAAGTAAAATTGAAGGATAACCAAAGTAGAAGTGAGAATGAAAGGAAGATACTCCTGCTTGGAAAGAAAATACTAACAAAATGTGCAGGAAGACACAAGGTATATTTTGGAGATGACAAGTGAAAATTTTGCCAGGAGCACAGATGTAATAGCAATTTGAGAAGTAAAGCTGAAGGGTAGGATCCTGATGTAGAGAATGCCGGGAGCCAGACTGAGCTTGGACTTTACGTCAGGTAGAAGTGGTAGAGAAAGATTAATTGCCTCTCTTCATTGGATTAGTACCATCATTATCTTCCAAAAGCTAAAAAGAAGCGCTTTAGGCTTTCAAAGGCCAGTTATCTAAAAAACACAATTTGTTCTTAAGTCAGCTCCAGAGCATATAAGGAAGTTTTTCTGGAGTTTTGGGAAATTCCTCATGCACTGAGATCCTATTAAGACCTCTAGTATCTTTTTTATTTATTTTTATTTTTTTATTTTAAGACAGGGTCTTACTCTGTTGTCCAGGTTGGAGTGCAGTGGTGCAATCTCAGTTCACTGCATCCTCTGTCTCCTGGACTCAAGCAGTCCTCCCACCTCAGCCTCTGGAGTAGCTAGGACTACAGGTGTGCGCCACCATTCCTGGCTAATTTTTTTACTTTGTGTAGAGACAGGGTTTCACCATGTTGCCCAGGCTAGTCTCGAACTTCTGAGCTCAAACCATCCGCCCACTTCAGCCTCCCAAAGTTCTGGGATTACAGGTGTGAGCTTCCGCGCCCGGTCAAGACCTCTGGCATCTTAAGAGACTTCCTATGAGTTCTTCCCTCCAAACTTTTGCACAAGTTATTCATGTTGTTTTCTCTTTCCCCTCCAAAGTGCTGCTTCTCCCTCACACCTCCTCTGGAAGGCCTTACCTGACTATGACTTAATTTAACTGTGCTCCATTACTCAGGAAAACTATACTCAGCATCTTGATGCTACATTTAATTTCTTTAAATGATAAAATATACAAATTCTTGTATATTTGTATGCCTAACCACCCTGTGACAACCTTTAGGAAAGATTCTACATCTGCCAGCTTTTTTGTATCCTCCATCCAGAACCTGTCTCCCATCCCCACTCCACCCACCCACCTGAGAGACATCATGGTATTGGGCAGTATACTCAGTTAGTATTGATGATTTAAGAGTGTGCCCTGAACAATAAATGATTTCTTTGAGGCTGAAATCCTATGGGGTCCATGGAATGTGGAGTTTCACCTCTCTTTGGCTCCTCCTTTCCCCAGCATGTGTAGAGCTTCTAGAACAGTCCCCAGCAAGGGAGAATCACTTGGTACACCTCTTTGTTATCCTCACTGTCTCCCGTCTCTGTGGGCCTGTTAGTGATGATCAGGAGACAGGTTTCAACATGGCCAAGCTGTTAATCACCGGAGATTGGGCACCATGAACAATAAGAATTAAAAGGCAACAACAACAACAAAAACCCATTTTATGCAGGCTTAATTTTTTAAAGAACTGTTTTTTCCTAACTCACTTTTACTCTTCTTCATCTACTTTCTCATACCTATGACTAACAATGTTAAGGACACGCACCCACTATACACACCTAATTTCATTCCTCCAAATTTGATTTCGTGTTTTCTAGAGCCGGCATGTAATGTGACTTATTGCTGGGAGAGGCCCAGCTGAGGGACTCTGTGATGCCAAATGGACAAAGGCATACTTTTATCTCCAGGTCCCAGCCTGGTGAAAATCATAGCACCTGAGGATTTGGAGCTGACTCTCTCCTTTGAGAGTTCTGCCTTCCAAAAATATATCTCGGGCTGCCTGTACCTGCATACAATAGATTTTGACTCTTACCAACCGCAACTTCAGGCTGAACTTCAGTTCTACCCTCACGGATGCAAATCAAAACAGAGCTCAGAATCAAGTCTGGAAAGCAAGTCGAAGTGGTTTGATTTTGCATGGGGAGCTTTTGTCTATGCGTGAAGGCAGCCAAATTCCCTGGGCTCCCCAGCCCTCCGGAAATATGCTTTATAGGACCCAGGGGCCCAGCCGGGTGGGTGTGATTTGAATGTTCTCTGCTACAGCTGCTGCTCTGGGCCCTGGTCACTGCTGTTGGTTTCGCTCCATTTTACTGCCTCAGAATCCCCCTGTGCATGTTAGTGGTTAATACAGCAGCCAGGAGACGCCAGACAGCTCTCGGCACCTGGTTCAAATTTAAGGCTCATTTACACATGATGTCACACACGCATTGTCAGCGCGAGGGAGGTCAGGATGGTTCATTTTGGGAAGGTTCACATTGTTGAGTCTTTACAACACTCACTGCTATTAATGCCTTAACCATCTGACTTGGATTTCGCTTTTCTGGCATGAGGTAATCCCAGGCACTAGATTTATATGCTGAAGGGGAAGTCAGCAATGGTGGCTAATCATGCTGGTTTGCAGATCTGCACCTCTGGAGCCTTGGGATGGAATTAGAGGGCCACATGGCAAGTAGCAAATCATGGGGGTTTTGAGCAGGAGGGGAATTAGCCAGACCTGGAAGCAGGGGCCCTAGACGGGGTGTTGTCTGAGCCAGGAGGTTTGACAGAGGAATGGAAACCAAGGTAAATTGGACAAGGATCTGGGCCCAGAGACCATAGAAATTATTCTAGTTTAGTGCTTTAGGTCCTTGCTTGACCTGTCCTCTTGCTCATCACCCATAGAAATCCCCAGCCCATCTTCCCAGGACCAGTGTAAGTCTCACGTTCCATGAAGCCTTTCCTGACCACCCAGCCCACAGTAATTTCTCCCCTGAATCCCTAAGTACTTCTGCTACTGAGCACTTAATTCGTGCGACTAGCTCATTTTACCCTTACAATTCCATGGGGAAGGCATTATTATCTCCATTTTACAGATGATGTGACAGGTTCAGAGAGGTTAAATAATGTATCAGCATCAAGCTTTTAAGAGTAAGGACGGAATCCTGATTCCAAGCTTAGGTACTGAACCACTGGGGTAGGCAGTCTACATCTGCTGTGGTATCAGTAACATGGAAGAGACAAGCTGTGCCTCAGGAAGATGCCACATGGGAATGCACAGCAGTGCTGTAGAGCCTCGTGTTTATGTGTCGTCCATGGTGCCTGGCTGTAAATAACTGCAGGGCAGTGACCATCACCTCTTATTTTTTACATCCCCATACTTCCTGACACAGTGTCCCCAAAGTATGCATCAATGGACAGGTGACTATTAGCACCTCCCCTCACCTAAAACATATTGAAAACTCTGAGATCTTTGGATAACAACCCCTTTCCCCTTCTGTTGTCTTCTCTCATGTGGCTGAAATAATAAAACTGGTCTGTCTGTCACAGCTCCAGTGAGTTTCCTTACTCACTAGAAATTCAGAGAATGTCTTTAATCCTGCTAACTGCTTTGACTTTTTTGCTTTTTTAACTTGTACCAAGACCTATTGCCATGAAGGGTCTCTGTAAATGGGCTTTCTTATTCCATGAGTCTCTGTTTGAGTCAAGAGAAGGGCACACTCCTTTTCATTGGCTACCTCTTACTTAACCTCCAAGAGGAGTACTCACTCCCAGAACCCTTTCCTGGGCTCTCATGCCAAGGTTAGGTGTCCCCTCAGTGTGCTTCCGCAGCACTCATTACCGCTTGGTAGCATTGTAGTTTAATTCCTGTTAGCTTGACTGAAGCGGAGACTTGCCTGGAGATACCTGTCGGTGCCCTCCACATTGTTCAGACGAAGAGCGTAGAAGGGTGAGGCCCACCCTCGGTTTCTACCCCTCTCCTCAAGGCCCTTCCTAGTCACTGTGCCACAGCGTTCTCATGGCTGTAGGGATCATGCCTCTGGGCCTCTGTCCATGCAGCCGCTCTGCCTGCACTCCAGGACAGGGCCTTCTCTGCAGTCCATTGGAGCCCTTGGAAGGGACTCCTGGCCCTAGCCCTAGGAAAGTCATCTCTGAAGGCTGTTTTCTTCTTAAAATGTCTCCTCAGAATGACCCTACAGACACAGTGTTTTTTCAGTGTCCTCTCACCTTTGAACATATCCAGGAATAATTGAAAAACCAGGCAATCAGATGCCCCTCTCATAAATCACAGTCACTTCAGAGCAGAACTTAGAGTTTGGTTTGCAAGCCACACAGAATAGTTTGAGCTTGCCCCTCTACCATTTCCTCCCACTCTGAGCCCGGCGGTTCACCTAGTGGACTGTGGCAATGGATTCCCTTGCCCCTGGCTTCCCATTGGGTTCAGCCAGAGAGCAGCACCAGTGGGAGCTTAGATGGGGAGGAAAGTGAGGTCAGAGTGTCTGCTTCCCCCTCTCTGATTGCCAGACCACTGTGGGCAGACTACACCCCAGGTGGCCGTCCCCATGTGTACCATGCTCGTGAGTTCTGGGTTCTGGAAAC